AAGATAAGAGTATGTGCGTCTCGTCTCTATCGTGTGTCTCCTGCTCCTGAGTTGCCTCGCTCGCTCTCTCATTCTCTTCCTCTCATTCTCTTCCTCTCTCTCTCTCTCTCTCTCTCTCTCTCTCTCTCTCTCTCTCTCTCTCTCTCTCTCTCTCTCTCTCTCTCTCTCTCTCTCTCTGACTCTGTGCCTTTCTCTGGTAGGCGCGGGGGACAGGGGGGTCATGGAAGCCGCCAATGTCTCTCCTGCTGCTATTGTGACGAGAGAGAAACATTAGAGAGATAGAGAGAGAGAGAGAAAAAACGCACCAACAGTTTGTATGGGATCGCTCCCGGGACTTGGGTGTACTATTCGAGGGGGGAGCACAAGAGAAGAAAGGCGCAGCTAGTGAGCCAGCCACAGCAATGACGGGGACGGGGGTACCCTTGAGTTATTCGTGGATCATGTTGGTGGTGCGGCAAGACGACGGGAAGGGAGGAAACATTACGGTGGCTTGCGGACGCCGCACAGCATTGCAACACAGCGCAGCACACCCACCTCTTCCCGCTGGCTGGGCTTGGTCTTTGGTTCTCTTGTTCAAGGTCAGGTTCCATCTGGTACTGGATATCCCCTGTTGCTGGTGCTAAGACACTGGCACCGAACTGGACAATAACCTGCAAGGTGAACATCTCAGCACAGAGCATCTGTACCTCGTACGGAATGGATACCTTGTCCTCGGGCAGGGCAACCAGCCGCAGGAAAAGATTGCTTGCTTCTTTCCCATTTCCATTCTCCCCGTGGCGTCAGGAGGGCATCAAACTGCCACATCGGAAGGGGGCGCAGGGTGGTAGCAGTCAAGATGGTCTAGCTTCGAAGCTCCCCGCCGTCATGATTCTGACCAAGGTTCCGCGCTAGGGTGATGCGCTGCTGCACTGCTGCTGGGCCCGCCCAGGTTTAGGCCGCTTAGGCCTTAGGGTCTCTCGGTTACCGCTGAGAGAGGGGCCGAGGGGCGGCGGGCAGCGACGGCGACGTATTTTGTGGTGTACGAAATACGGCCACCTCCTCCTTTCTTCCAGGGCGGCAGGGCCCAGGGGTCTGTCACGTCCCGGATGACAGCCCATCGGTGGATATAGCGCGCGGCACTAATTAAGGTAAGGCCAGCTAACGTGCCTCCGTCGCTCAGGCAGTCAGCCTACACACACAGTTGTCGTCTGTCGGTAGTGTAGGTGCCGGTAGGCCAGAACTCCATAGAAACCAAGTACCAACATCCTTGGCACAAGAAGGTTCTGACTGATGATCTCCAGCGGCCGAATTCAGTCGAGGTGAGTGGGTGTGCTGAGGCTGAATGAGTGAGAAAAGTAGAGGAAACTCGGGGAGCCAAGACCTGCGTGGAATTCCGCGAGGTATTGAAGGCACCCACGGGCCACGGCACCGAGCCTCCTCGTGCCTCGCGTGGCTTTCTTTTTCCCCTGGGTGACAAGCCATCTATTCCGATGAGCTAAACTGTACAGCTGTAATTGCGCACGGAGATTGGGAGCCGTAAGAGCTTGAAATTGAGTAGTGTAGGGGAGCCGCCAAGCTGAAAATTCCAACGGCCTCATCCAACAAACTTTGTCCTCGCATTCCCGGGTGTCAGGCCAAGGTCGACAAGGCGTGCCCAGGGCAATCCGTAGGACCGTAGGTACGGAGTCTGTGGACACTGGCAGGACGGATACTCCGTAGACGGCATGAACCATTGGGCTGCGTGACTAGGTATCAACGTGACATGCCGTCCGATCAAGACAGCCCGCCTGAAGTCACAGTCTTCTCGCAGACGACATGGGGGCAAGAGATGTAGATGCCGAATCTGATTTTCGTCCGAGGTTTGAGTGGTCTGGACTCACTTCCCGACAGGGTTGCCCAGCCTGCCAGCCTTCTGCCCCTCACCAATCCTCTGCCCTGAGGTAAGCAATGACCAAGCGGTAATCTGGTGGGGAGAAAAAGACGGTCGACATGGCATGCGGAATTCCTTGAGGCCTTGCGCAAGGTCTTCGGCTCGGGATCGGTCTTCCTGAGGGCCCGTCAACGTTGAAAACCACAAAACTGTCCGTCCGTAGGTCTGAAGTCGGCCCTCAGCCAGGTCTGGACCACTGTTGAGGGCAGTCGTTGTTCGAGAGGCATCTTGACAGGTTCTCGGTCGCCGCCAAAGGCAACGCACCGGTGGCGTCTCAGTCCAGGCGGGATGGATCCACTGGCTTTGAGCCGAATTACCATGTGCCGAGCGGGAAACTAAGGTTTTTTTTTTTTTCCTTTCCAACTTCCTGCAAGGCCGGGGTTTGTATAGAAGCCGTCTCGTTTTCTTCTTGCGAATGGAGGGGCATGATCTGATACTCCATATCGCCCTGCGCAAGCGTTGTGAACAATGGCACGCGTGGCAGAAGAATGGACCTAGTACTCGGGCGAATGTCACGTTCCCTGCTCGACTAGGTGCTCATCATCTAAGCAATGTCAGGGTCCATATCTGCTGGGTGCGAGCATTTCGCCGGCACGCACTGGGCGGGAGAACAAGACGCCGGAAACGATGTGTTACTGAAGGATTCCGGCAACATTCCCCCGTCTGAGAACGCTTTCCAATACATCCAAGATCCAAGCTGGGGCCAATCGTCGCGTTTCCGACCTGCTGGATGGTGTGACCGATCACTGGTCGCAGCATCGTTGACTGGCATACGGTGCAACACAAACGTCGCGCATTGTTGAACGAAAGGAGGCGTGTTGATCACCGCGAGCCACCTTTGCCTGTGCTCTCTTGAACGAACCGGTCACATCCAGCTCCCTATATCGTCGATCGCCTGGTACACTCCCGGTGCCCTTCGATACGCGCAGGAAACACCGCACCTTGGCAGATTGCCCCAGACGTTTGTTTACTCTATCTGATCTCGGTCGAAGCCTGCAACAACGGTAACTGCAAGTCAGATATGCACTCTGCCTTCTCGCAGCCGCAGAGTCCGGCTCATGGCCGTAGGGAAAACAGATTCCGGCCCTCCTGAAGTACATCCCTGGGTTACTTTCGAGCGTTGGATTCGCGGGTTGTATGGGACCTTGGAGTCGGTCCTTCGCTGGACGCCCCTCTTGTCGATGGTCCAGATAGTCTTCCAGACATGCGCCTCGTCAACGCGGGACTTGCGTCGGAGGCAGCTATCTATGAAGCCAGCGGTACCATTCGACTATTTCTCTCGAAGCTCGATGCTGGGAATAGAGTCTTTTAGAAATCTCCACTTGGGTTCTTGAGAAGAGAGTAATCTGAAAGACGGGTCTCTGTACTCGAACAGGTAAGGTACCTTGACCTGCCACACCGTTTCCTCCCCACCTCGTCGTCTCTCTTCTACGCCGAATGTAGCAAAGCGTCCATCAACAACCTTCCGTTGAGCCGGGCAATACGCCGTACCCATGTTTTCGGGCCAAAGATCGGGGCTTCTGTGTTGAACCGGCCCATGCCGAGAAACTGGTTAATTGACCGCATACCAGTCGGGGTCCAAGTGTCGTGGCCTTCCTCCTTCGGGCACAGGAGTTGGTCGGTGGGGATCCCAGGGATATTTTGGCAGGTGGTATTCCTACACGTATGCATCTACACAGGAGTCACTTGACAGACAGGCAGATCTGGCTGTGTCGAGGAGCGCCTCGCGAAAACGTCTTGGCATGATAGTGCGAAAAGCCCTATGATGATGAGGGTTGCTGACGTCTGACGTGGGAATCGAGAACCGTAAAGTACATTCCGTTTCAGCAAGACGAACTTGTAGAGCATGCGACCAATGGCTGATGTCTTGGATCATACTCCGTCCGCAACTCGGAGGTGTCGTAAACCTGCGCCAAAAGACCCAACAAGGTGGGGTAGCCTCATAGGCTCATAACTCCGGGCACGTCGTTTTCGTCTTCTGAGTTGCATGCGGCCGGATCCGGGAGTGAAAGCCGTCTGAAGTGATTAGATTGTCTTGCAGCGCCTCTCGGTGACAATTTGTAGACCGTTTCTCGTTGACGTCGATGAAGGCTACGTGCAGTTGATAAATCGCCGGTCCGATATACTTGCCTTTTTCTTCTATTGTTCCAATCAGCGCAGCTTTGGAGCTTGTTGCAGCCGCAACAGTATGCAGCTTGATTAATAGTCAGTATGGCCCCGGCAGCGCTGCCCAGAACCCCAAGTCAGACGAGGCCCCCAGCTCGTGTTGGCATGAAATGTAAACGCGGACTCGTTGTCCTGAAGACCAGCCTGAACTCTCCAGTCCCCAAATCAGGCCATCACCCACTCGGCCAGCTGCAAAGTGTAGAAACACTTCCAGGGGTTTCCAGTGTGTTGGGCTTAGGTCGAGCTCATCAGCGGCCTAGCTCGCCAATAGCGTATTCCGTAATCGACTGGCTGTAGTTCCTTCGGGTCGACATGAACAATACGCCGGCACGCCGGGCTGCGCAAAATGCCGCGTTTGCGGGTCTTTCAGATTGACAAGAATAAGGCCTAGTAATATCAGCCAGCGCCGTTGGATCGACTCTAATGATTATTCCGCTGTGGCGACGACCGTTGAAGCCTGACTACCATGTTGGTAACTAGAGCAAGGTTGTCGAGCGACAATAGGACTAGACAAGGGATTGAGATAGAATGAACAAAGCACTCTCCAAGGCCTCTCCATTGTAGGAAATGATTCGAACACATCTTGTCCGAAGTTTGGATGAAATGGGCAGGTTGTGAGGAAGTTGAAGACGGGATGCAACTGTGAGGAAGCAGAGGAAACAGAGACGGGATGCACGGTCCACCAGTCTAACTCGGCCCATCCTGGCGTCGATCAAAACGCAGGGGTACGATAAGCGACCTCTGGGGAAAGGAAGGAAAGAAAAAAAATTCCAACGTCGATAAGCCATGAGAGTAAGCCATGAGATGCGCATGAGCTTCAAGCAACAAACTCATTCGCCGACCACATCCTGTTAGATTCGTAAGCACGACGAGAAGCTCACAGAATCCGGACATCTCGAAGAACATCACTCTTGGCAATTGAAAAATGTTCGCCGTCCCAGGATGGTCCGTCGCGGCCGAGGGTCTCAAAACCGAGACCCAGGTGAAGAAGGCCAGCAACCCCGCCAAGAACGAGAGCAAGAAGCGCAAGAGGGCCAACAAGCAAGAGAAGAAGGAGAAGAAGGCGCCTACATCGGGCGCTAACTCCGTCCTGGTGAACCCTCGCGTCTTTGGAGAAAAGAGGGAGGATGCTCCTGCTGCTACGGCTGAGGCTGATCACGATGGTGACGATGCGGATGAGGCTGAGGTCGAGACGCCTAAGCCGAGCAAGAAGCAGAAGAAGGAGAAGAAGGAAAGGAAGAGCGAAGGAGGAGAACAGACGCAGGAGACGCCCAAATCCGACAAGAAGGAGAAGAAGCAGCGCAAAGAAAAGTTCAACAACGAAAATGAACCAGCCACAGCAGCAGCAGCAGAGACTACACCGTCAAAGACACACAAGACAGCCTCGACAGACAAGCAAGACAAGGTCGAAAAGAAGAAGAACAAGGACGCCGCCGCCGCCATCGCCGCCTCCGTACCCCCCGTCCCGCCCGCCGCGGCCAAGCTCACCCCCCTCCAGCGCTCCATGCGCCAGAAGCTCGTCTCGGCCCGCTTCCGCCACCTCAACGAGACGCTCTACACCCGCCCCTCGGCCCAGGCCTACCAGCTCTTCGAGGACTCCCCCGAGATGTTCTCCGAGTACCACGAGGGCTTCCGCCGCCAGGTCGAGGTCTGGCCCTCCAACCCCGTCGACGGCTACATCCGCGACATCAAGCTCCGCGCCAGAGCCCGCTTCCCCAACGCTCGCGGTGGTGGACGCCCCGGCGGCGCACCATCGAAGCCCGACGGCCCTCAACCTCTGCCCCGTACCGACGGGACGTGCTACGTCGCTGACCTGGGCTGCGGCGACGCCCGCCTCGCCTCGACTCTCGAGCCCGAATCCAAGAAGCTCAAGCTCAAGATCATGAGCTACGATCTCCACTCCCCCGCGAAACACGTCACAAAGGCCGACATCGCCAACCTGCCCCTCGAAAACGACTCGGTCGACATCGCCATCTTCTGCCTCGCCCTCATGGGCACGAACTGGCTCGACTTCATCGAGGAGGCCTACCGCATCCTCCACTGGAAGGGCGAGCTCTGGATCGCCGAGATCAAGTCCCGCTTCGGCCCCGTGCACCGCAAAAATGCCGTCGTCTCGCACAGCGTCGGCAACCGCAAAAAGGCAGCGGCCGCCGCAGGAAAGAAAACCAAAGAACCCGAGGAGACGGAGGAGGATCGCACGGCTCTCGCCGTCGAGGTCGACGGCCACGAGGACAAGCGCGGCGAGACGGACGTCTCCGCCTTTGTCGAGGCGCTGCGGAAGCGCGGCTTCGTCTTGGCGGGCCAGGGCGAGGGCAACAAGGGTGCGGTGGACCTGTCCAACAAGATGTTTGTCAAGATGCACTTCATCAAGGGCGCCGTGCCCACCAAGGGCAAGGGTCTTGCCGCGGCCAAGGCGGCCGGCTATGTCGACAAGGAGAAGAAGCAAAAGAGGTTTGTGTGGGAGACGGAGGAGGACAAGGTTGATGAGACGGGTATCCTGAAGCCGTGTGTGTACAAGATCCGGTAGAGGTGACCGGTTGTATATTGTTCTTGTCAGGGTTTTGGTACATACAAAAGTTGTCTTTATTTGGGGGGTAACATCACGTTTGTCAAAATAAAAATGCCTATATGTCGGAACTGCAATCGGACTTGTTTGAATGAAGCTGGGTGTACTGCGATCACCGTGTAGGGTATCATAGCGGATGCCGTTGAGCGTCGTCGTTTACACAAAGCATGGGCGAGTCTCAAAGCTTTAGTTGGCATTACTTGAAATTCAAAAGTGCCGAGTGTGTCTATCAAACCGCTATAAACGCATACCATGTCGAGCTGCGCATGCATGATACGACGACTCCAATTCATCCCACCTGTCCAGCCCGAGATTGTCCCATACCTTTGCTGTCCGACCATGCAGGTCCATTTCAACCAAAGAATTTCCGATACGCCCCTTAATCCAGTCTATGCCCCGAATAAGAGACCGGCTGCGAACTCGACATTGCCACCTGTAGCTTGCAAAGCATTGATCGCGGCTTCACGAGGGAAACCCAGAGCCATGAGCTGGTTGATATGCTCTTCCGGGAAAGTTGGCGCCGCTGGCTGCTGCTGCTGCTGAGGTGCTGGCCGACCTTGTGGAAGGGTTTGCTGCGTCGGCGCGGCGGCAGCAGCGCCTTCGGGACCACTGACCACACCTGAACGCTGACCGATGGTCGTTCCAGCTGGGCCAGGCAATCTGGGTTCTTCCTCCAGAGCCTCCTCGCTCTCCTTGGGAATTTCCGCTTCGCCCAAGAACGACACCTCCTCGCCCTGAATGATCAGCTTGTCCTTGGCCAAGTCAATGCTGGCTTGGTAGCGCTTAAGCATGTCGAGGCCAAGGAGAAGCTCGACCTGCTTGCCCTCCATGACGGTGAAACTGCAAGGCAGGAACATGGTGCCGACCTTGATCTGGGCAGAGTGCACGCGTCCGATGATGTTGGCTGTGCCTACACCACGAGCCACACCCGCAAACCGCTTATCAACAAGTCTCATGATACCGCAGGCTTCGGCACATGAGGGGGACATGATGGTTGCCTGTGCTCCAGAATCGACCAACGCCTTTACTCTGTGGCCGTTCACCTCGACGTCGACATACAGCATGTGCACTCGTCCGAATACTGTGTAAAGTTAGCCTCTAGGTATGCACTTGTGGTGCCTGGGTTCTCTGCCATACCTTCAGGGTTGTGCTCCATGGCGTTTTGGAGGTTTTCCATAACTCTCTCTTGACGAATCATCTCTTCAATCTTCTGCTGAGCCTCGATGTCAAAGGGGTCCTCGTTCAGACGGGCAATCTGCCTCTGCCGCTCTTCGCGGTCCCGCTGCTCACGGTCGTAGCTCTGGTTGAAAAGTTGGGCAAATCTCTGGGGATCATCGAGAACGGCGGCGAGCTGGGGCTGCTGGCGGGTGGCTTCGGCACGTAAGTTTGGATCGCCTAGGATCTGGAGGCGAATGAGCTCTGGGTCTTGCCCTCCTGGTCGCCGGCGCTGCTGCGGTGCCCTTCTGCCCTGGTCCGGCAAGCCAGTGCTTCCTTGCATGTCCCTCACGTGTAGCGCCAACATCTCGCCGTCGGCAATCTGCAACTGTTCCATCGTCTGAGTGTCATCTTGGATCAAGCGACCGTTGTGGTAGAGGTGTTGGGAGGTGGGTGCGATGTTGGTCTCGGCTTGGATGGCTTCGCGGAGTGTGGACATGGGCATATCGGGAAAGATCTCGAGGGTGAGAAGGTCCTGGTCCTCGACCTCGGGGTTCGTTATGCTCAGTGTAATGCGCCTGTCAGAGGGAAGAAGAGTCAGCGGAGAAAGAACGTGTCAAGTCCCGACAAAGGGGCAAAGCATACATGATGGGTTTTTGTTCCTGGCGTACAGGCAGGAACTGTTTGCCGCGGGTTTGATCGGTTGATGGAAGAAATGGACTGGCGGCGAGAAGGCAAGAGGCCGGATCTGGTCGAGGGAAATCGCCGGGTTTCACTGTTGCGAAAGCGAAGTTGAAGTTACCCTCAGCACGGAGCTAGGTGCGGAGGAGGGGTGTTGGAGGGACCGAAATTCAGGCAACACAACAGTGACGTCTCATCCGGAAAGTAAAGAGCTGCTGGATGGACGGTGGGATGAAGCAGAGCTCCGGGAAAAGTTTCGACGTGATTCCGCAGCCTTGTAGCGGTGGTGAACGATTGGACAGGTGGTATCTGATGAGTTGAGAGACACTTGGTCTCAAAGACAGGATCTCAAGGTAAAGTGAAAGGGAGCCGGGGGAGGTAGCGGAAGGTAAAGGCAAGGTAGAGCTCGGCTCAGGTACTTGGGGTACCTTTTTGAGTGTTTCGTAAGGAAGGTGGGTGCAGTGACGAGACCCCTACCTTACACAGTACGTTTCCCCGTTTGCAGTGGCTCAAGATGGGGTCGACGGGGAACCAGGACGGGGAATGTTTCCGTACTGCGGACTTAGCTACCTACTGCGTAAGGAGTATGCTAGTGTAAGGTAAGGTAAGGCAAGGCAAGGTAGAATGGGGCGACCGGAATACAAACACTGTGAAAAGCAAACCTGTGTGCTCCCAAGGCACGAATACCTTACCTATCCGCACTGGTACCTAAGCAGCTAAGGTACTCCAAAGAGACGGGAGGGAAAGCACTGGCCACGGAACGAGATGGCGAACAGAAGCTCATGGAAGGCTTCGGGAACTTCTCCGCTTACCCTAGCTTAACTTACAGAGACTCCGACGGTGTGTTTCCTGCCAGCCAGACAGACAGACGCATGCTTTGTTTTTTTTTTCTTCAATCTGGGTATTTTCGCGCGTCAATCTCTGCCTCGCAAGGCATCGACTTGCCTAGCCTGCGGCAAGGAGGCCATTGATGACTTGAGCTTCCCAGTTCCAAGGTTGCTGAGGTCACAGCAGCACGGGCAGGTTCCCCTACGGCATATCAGCCCCACGAGCTAATCGTTGACTAAGCCATCAAGTGTCTTCAAAGTATCTTTGACACCAAACCAGGTGGAGGATGGCGCAACCAAGTACTTGACCTATACCTGCGGCAGCTGCGCGAGCCAAGCAAGCGACCTCAACAACCCTTGCAATCTGCTCGTGTACTTGCTTCTGGAGCAGGTACAAGAGCTGAGAATCCCCTCTTGTTTCTACTTTTTCTGCACTTGCATCTCTTTCTTTTCCTGTGCCAAACTGACATGTCATAGATCCTCAGGATGTGCCGCCAATCGATGTCTAGCAGCGACATCTCCTGCCACCTCCGCCCGTGGGTTTCTGTGCGATGATGACAAGCCTACGAGCACTTCAACTTGCTGCTGCTCGAGGCAGAAAAGCACCCTGCTTCCTCGCTTGGAACCTGCGTCCGTCTTATGCCTTTGGTCATGACGAAGAACGTCTATCATGACCTGCCCGGATGGCCGACGATGGACGCGGCGTGAAGAAGAGACATCCTGTCCAGCTTCTTCTTCATCACCCCATGCTGAAGAGGTCCCAGCATCTATCTACCAGCCTGCGACCTCGCTACTCACGCTCCGCTCGGAGAGCAGGCTCGCAGGTCTGCTTCGAGTCAATGACATTGCATATCTCGTTTAGATGGCGACTGCAAAGGACCGGGCATTTTGCCCTGAACGGAATGTTCATGATCTGACGGCACGGGATCATGTTTCCAAGCTGCCGTTGCTCCCACCAATATCTCGCATGCGACGTCTCGAAGGCGAGCAGAGATCGGCGTGCCAACTTCGCTCCGCTGGAGGGTCGGAACTGCAGTCAGCTCGGATGCCGGCCTTGAAGTCGGTCGGATCCGGCTTCCGGTGGTGGCCGCATTCCGGGTTCTCGACGCTGTTCAGTTGCAATGCTCCGCGTCTTCGTACTTGATGCAGTATGCGCTCTCAGCCTCTGCAACCCACGCCGATTCATTAGGAAGGTCCATGACCACAGCCCAAGCGGGTTGAGTCATAACTTACAAGTCAGAACGCCTTCGGCCTTCGCCCATCTGACATGGTGGGAAAGCCCAAAAAGTGCCTCAGGGCCCTTCCTAGACCTCATTGAGCCTGCTGCATATGCTGCATTGCGGCGGGGCAATGCAACTCTGGATCGCCGACCCGGAAAGATTCTCGAAGTCGATACTGCAGTTATGTCCATTTCGGTGAATACCTGCAGCTGTCAACATGCCACAGCGAAAAGTTTTTCGTCTGCTTGCTTCGGCCTCCGGGTTGCAGCTGTCTTATCGGTCAAGATCCAGACGAAAGCCAAGGCCTATGCAGATCGATAGGCTCAGGGTCTTCTTGCCTGCACAGTATGGTGTTGCTGCAGTTATTTCACTCTTCAAGGCAATATCCATCGCTTTTGACTCTTGAGTACTCCGTAGGTCTGCGTAAATTCTATACAATTCGATGGCGGCTGGGTTGGTGTGCCATACAAGTGTGAGGCACACCGCAGCAGGCGGAGTCAGGGGAAAGGAGCAACAAGCATGCCGGCCAAGACCCAACTAAGGTAAGTCCCTCGCCCACCCACGCGAAACCAAAAGTCTGAATCTACATTGTATCGCAACTCCTCTTTTCAAACTTTGTCGTTGCAGTCGCTGACAGTGCCTAGATCTTGTTCGGTTTCTATCGGCCGCATTGGCCAAAAACAGCCTCAATCTGACGGGACGGACCAGCAATTAGCGGTCTGAAAGCAAACAGCGCATTCCTCAGTCTGCCAAAGACCAAATTTTTCAACGCCGAAACCCCGGAAAAATCATGATGCGACCCTGAGTTTACAGACTCAAGAACTCTGTGGTTGAACCCTGAGGGGCGTGGGCAAGACTGATCTGAATAGCAGTATCGGAGCATGGAGTGATGTTGAAGTTGGCTTACTGTGGGGAATTGAGTACAAGTCAGGTCACTTTCTCTCTCTCACTCTCTCTTCCCTTGATCCCAACCAACCTTGCCCTATGTGCAAGCCATTCAAGCATCTCTTTTCGGTTCTACCCTGTCCTTGGGCGATGGCCTGGATCGAAAGAAAGCAACAGTACCCATTATTACCCGTCATGCCCTACAAAGAAGAACTTTTCCGCAATTTTCCACATCGCAAGGCTGGGATGCTACATGAACAGTGTCATGTCTCTTTCACCAATGCCACAACTTGGGGAAGATTTCTGGGAAGAGTGGGAAATAAGATGGAGCCGGGCAACGATTCCAGCGTCGCCTAGAAATACCCATGGGCTGAACAGGCCACAACTGTGCCACTGCGGGTAGACCAGTCACGCGACAAACACCTCATAACCACAACCACACCTCACATAGAGTGTCCAATGATGGAGGGTGTTGCTCTGCCTTGGTCCATGGCAAGTCACTGAACTCCAATTCCCGCCAGTTCCCTCCTTGGCTGCTGCAATACCAATCCCATTTTCTACCAACTCCATACCTTTCTGTTTGGTCTGCAGCCAGGTTACTCCTCTTTTTGCAATCCCGTTATCGCCTTCACGGCTCAGGTTCACTTGACTTGTCCCAATGCTTTGTCCCCTCTCCGCCGTGGACCACCCGATCTGACCTTAGCCTTTCTGAGACGTCTTCCCTCCTCCGTTCCGACACCCACTGCACCGAGCTAAGGTGTTTACTCGGCCTTGCCTGTCGGCACACACCGGCCGGGCATTACTTGACTCACAGCCCCGTCAGGCCCCGCTCTGCAACGACAGCGCCGAGTTCAACGGCCGGCAGCTCCCCGATGCCCCTCCGGAGCTACCTGTGCAATCGCCCAATCAACCCCTTCAACCATCACTCCCAGTTACCAACAGCACCCGCCTCTTCTGGTTGTTATCCTGAAGTGTCTTCCTGCCTTGTTTGAAACCTTTAGTCTCTCTGCCTGCCAGCTGACGGGGGTAGTTTGACCCAACAAGCCGCTCTCGGGCTGATTCCATTGCCTCGCTTCTTCTCTCTGTGTCACCAACAACCCTTCCCACTTCCAACTTCTTCCTCCCCTCCCCCCCCAACTCTGCCCAGCTCTCTACAAATTCTCATACGTTCTCCTGACGTATCCTCCCCCTTTTCCTCAAACCTCTCTTCCATTTCCGCGTTCTCTACCTAACGCGGCATACACGATTGCACGATCTTTCGTCATCATGCCTGACGAGAAAGATTCCCCGGTCACCAAGCTTGAGGAGGCATCCGACTGCGCCATCGACAGTTCTGACGATGCCGACGACGAGTATATCGAGACCCAGATGTCCCAGTCCGAGCTGAAGAAGAAGCAGCAGACGCAGCGCCGGACGATCCAGCATATCGTTCCTTTCAAATGGAGCCCTTTGGTTTTGCCTCTGACCGAGTCAAACCTTGAGTCTTGCGTCGCCCTCGAGGACGCTGCGTTCACCGATCCGAGTCATCGCGCTACCCGCGTCAAGGTGAGCCGATTTGTCCCTATCTTTCTTCCCACGTCACCTTCGTCCTTTTTCCCATTCTCATTTCCTTGTGCCATCGAGTCTCAGGGTTCTGCCGAGCCTGAACTAAGAAGAACTCGGCTCATACATGAGAATGAGAGCTCTGCGAGTTCCCACCGTTGAAGGGCGGATACTCGCGTGCCATCTCATGGCCAGGTCACCTCGTATCATGATTCACGCAAAGCTTACACACCTCATCGCAGTTCATGTATCGCCTCGCGACCTGCTCAGACATATCCACAGGTCTCTTCTGCAGCGTCGTCCCGGCTGAGGCCGAGGCTTTCCCTCTCTCGACCTTGACCGTCGCTAGCCCCGTCGAGACAGGTCGCGCCAACGGAGCCAAGCTGGTCCTCCTCGGCCACGCCGTCGCGACCCTCGGCGACGGCCCTGTCGTTAGCGATGACGACATGGCCTACCCGGACAACTGGCGCGATCAAAAGTCGGCCAAGAGCACGGATGTCGGTCACAAGATCATGGGTCGCACGCTGTGTCTGCACTCCTTTGCCATCGACCCCAAGGTCCAGGGCTTGGGTCTCGGCAAGCTTCTCATGAAGTCGTACCTGCAGCAGATCAACAACTCTGGCGTTGCGGATCGCGTGGCGCTCATCTGCAAGGACGTAAGCTTCTTCTAGCTCACTGAGTGATCCTTACTCTTTAAATATTCGCAAGACACTGATGAATCGGCAGTGGTTGGTTAGCTACTACCAGCGCTTCGGCTTCAAACGCGTTGGTCCCAGCAAGGCGTCTTTCGCTGGTGGCGGCTGGAATGACATGGTAAAACCTCTTGCTGTCTATCATCCATTCAGGCGGAATGACTAACATGACATCAGGTCATTGAACTCTCCGGCCCGCCCAAGAAGGGTCCCGATGCTCTTAAGGCGTTCGCTGAGTAGTGCCGCCGTGGTCACTGAGGTCATTGCGGGACTTTCTCGTCATCTTTTTTTGCAGTCCTGTCTTATGAGTCATGACTATCCGAGCTCTAGACAGGACAAGTACGCTCCTAATTGTTTCCAGACGAACAAACCGGGAGGAACTGGGAGTGCCATACTGAGTGGGTTGTCTTGAGTTGACAACCTCACTTTTGCATGATGGCTTTGCTTTTTTTTTCTTCCTCTTTTCTTTTGTTACCCGCGTCCATGTTGTCGGGTTACCACGAGATTGTTACAATCTCAAAAAAAAAGGGTGGTAGCATCATGAGACGACAGGGCCGAAGACTACCTTAACGATGAGGACATGACATAGAATGCCTTGCCACCTGGATGAGGGCGAGCAGGGCAAAATCAAGATACGATCCTTCACAGTGTCCTCTGTTCATCTTTATTCTATGCGTGAGGTTTTGAAGGCCCTGCAAAGTCACTTCCCAAATCACTTTTATCATCCTATGCGCCTGACCCGGGAGGTCCTATAAAGTTCCGTTCATTCCATCCCATCCATCCATCCATCCTTTCGAGCGCCGACCGTTGAACATGATGTTCTTGGTGTCACATCTGCCCGCAAAATTTAACCGCCTCCTGCTCTGGCTTTCTGACTCTCAAGGTTTAGTCGGTAGCCTTGTACTTGGCACGGTACTCCTCAGTGCGCTTGATGTCCTCAGCGGATGCGAAGCTCTTGGCGCCCTCGATAATGTCGTCGAGCGTCAGGATGGCAAAGATGGGGATGCCGTACTCCTTCTTGATCTCGCCCATGGCGCTGGAGCCAGGCTTGCTGTCGTCGCCATCGGTAGCAGGGAGCTTCTCCATGCGGTCAAGCGCGACGACGATGCCGACGACCTCGCCGCCCTCCTTGCGGATCTTGGCAATCGCCTCGCGCTTGGCGGTTCCCGCGGTGATGACGTCGTCGACGATGAGCACCTTCTTCCCCTTGAGCGGCGCGCCGACAATGTTGCCGCCCTCGCCGTGGTCCTTGGCCTCCTTGCGGTCGAACGAGTAGCAAGTGGTGCCGTAGTTTTCGGGGTCCAGCTCGGCGAGCTTGTCCGTCGTCGAGGTCGCGAGCGGGATGCCCTTGTAGGCCGGGCCGAAGACGATGTCAAAGGTCAGGCCGGAGGACTTGCGGGCCTCAATGACGGTGTGGGCGTAGGCGACGGAGATGGCGCGGAGGAGATCGGCGCGGTAAAAGTCGCCGGCGTTGAAGAAGTAGGGGGAGATGCGCTTCGACTTGAGCTCAAAGGAGCCGAACTTGAGGACGCCACCGGCGATGGCGGCCTTGAGGAAGTCCTGCTTGTAGGGGGCGAGTTGGGAGGACATTTTGGGGGTTATCGTTTGCAAGTGGATAGAAGAGATGGGATTTGGGTTGGTCTTCCAGAGGGTTGTGCTTGTCGGAGGCTGGAGGATGAAAGATCTCAAAATTGAAGGGAACTTGCTCCGCGAAACGGATACCCCTCCATTCAAGTCTGCCCCGCGGAGAGGCCCCACCAAGCAAAATTTATTGCGATAAAGTTGTGATAAGACGAGGAATCCGCACCGCCGGACCCTGCATGGACTCAGCCAACGCGACGGACTCACTGATGTTTTGGTCTACTGAGACAATTTGGAACGGAGGTATCCTTAAGAGTGTAGTTAAGACTAATAATTAAGCCAGATGGGCGAGGTACCTACCTAGTTGTGTCCATCAGCGTTGAGTGCACAACCACAACGTCTGAGCGGCCACTACTGGCATGGGGTCCCCCCGCCCCACCTGTCCGTGCCGATAAGATAAGCGAACGAGAGAAAAAAATTCGAGTGCTGAACACCGCCCCCCGTCCCAAATACTTTGTTGCAGTTCACCGACGGTGCACCTTGACCGATCGCAACATCTGAGGACTGCTTCAAGTTTTTCCAACGCAGACCCCAGCCGCCAAAATGAAGACTCAGTACGTTGGACCCTTTCTACATGCGATCACTTCTCAAAGAGAAGCCATGTTACAAAAGAATCAATCTTTGCTGACCATGCTTTGCGCGGCAGGTGGAAGGATCTCCCCCCGGTCCCCAACTCGCAAGAGTTCCTCGACATCGTTCTCTCGAGGACGCAGCGCCGGCTGCCGACCCAGATCCGCTCGGGTTTCAAGATTTCCAGAATCAGAGGTTTCTACACCCGCAAGGTCAAGTTCACCCAGGAAACCATCAGCGAGAAGCTCGGCCTGATCATCGAGTCGTTCCCTCGCCTCAACGACATCCACCCCTTCCACAAGGACCTGATCAACACCCTCTACGATGCCGACCACTTCAAGATCGCCCTCGGTCAGCTCTCGACCGCGAAGCACCTTATCGAGACTATCTCCAGAGATTGTGCGTAGAATCCAGCTCTTTCAGAAGGCCTTCTCCCTGCGTGGTGTGGGGGAAGGCGATTTTTCGATTTTGGGAGGGGAAATGCAAAATGGCTAACCTGGTGCAATTCGTGCAGACGTCCGACTCTTGAAGTATGGCCAGTCGCTTTTCCAGTGCAAGCAGCTGAAGCGTGCCGCGCTTGGTCGCATGGCCACGCTCATCAAGCGCCTCAAAGACCCTCTGGTTTACCTGGACCAGGTTAGACAGCGTAAGTGGCATCCGACGACAACGAGAGCGCGCACAAGAGTTTTTTTACTGACTGCGAGCGACAAACAGATCTTGGCCGTCTTCCCTCGATCGATCCCAACACTAGAACCCTTCTCATCACGGGTTTCCCCAACGTCGGAAAGTCTTCTTTCCTCAAGTCCGTCTCCAGAGCCGACGTCGATGTCCAGCCGTACGCCTTCACAACGAAGTCGCTCTTCTGCGGTCACTTTGACTACAAGTACCTTCGTTTCCAGTGCATTGACACCCCTGGTATTCTCGACCACCCTCTCGAGGAGATGTAAGCAAAATCTCAATGTTCAAAACGCAGTGGAGGGTTTTCAGACGCTGACAGCCCATACAGGAACACCATTGAGATGCAGTCCGTCACCGCCATTGCCCATCTGCGATCCGCCATTCTCTACTTCATGGATCTCAGCGAGCAGTGCGGTTACTCCATCCAGGCCCAGATCAACCTCTTCCAGAGCATCAAGCCCTTGTTCCAGAACAAGATTGTCTTCATCGTCGTCAACAAGATCGATGTGGTCAAGCCCGAGGACCTCGACGCCGCCACCCAGGCCCAGCTCCAGGGTCTCCTCAAGTCGGGCGAGGTCGAGATGCTCCAGCTCTCTTGCAACACCCAGGAGGGCGTTCAGAACGTCAAGAACACCGTCTGCGAGCGCCTCATCGCCGAGCGCGTCTCCCAGAAGCTCAACGCCGGCACCAACAGCAGCGGCAACATTGGCGGCCGCCTCGCCGACGTCATGGCGCGTATCCACGTCGCCCAGCCCGGCACCAGCCAGCCCCTCCAGACCTTCATCCCCGAGGGCATCAAGAACATGAAGAAGTATGACAAGGAGGACCCGGAGCGCCGGAGGCTCGCCAAGGACGTCGAGGCCGAGAACGGCGGCGCCGGCGTCTACAGCGTCGACATGCGCCAGGACTGGCTCCTCGCCGACGACGAGTGGAAGCACGACAAGATCCCCGAGGTCTTTGACGGCAAGAACGTCTACGACTTCATCGACCCGGATATCGACGCCAAGCTCCAGGCCCTCGAGGAGGAGGAGGAGCGCCTCGAGAAGGAGGGCTACTACGAGTCGGACGAGGAGCTCGACGACGAGGAGGAGGCCGACATCCTCTCCAAGGCCGAGATCATCCGCGAGAAGCAGGCCCTCATCCGCAACGAGGCCAAGATGAAGAAGCGCCTCAAGAACCAGGCCATCATCCCCCGCAAGTCCCAAAAGGTGCCCCTCTCCCAGATGGACGACGCCCTCGACCAGCTCGGTGTCGACACCACCGACATTGTCAACCGCGCCCGCGCCCAGTCCCGCCCCCGCGGCCGCTCCTCCGGCCTTTCCCGCGCCGGCACCGAGGACGTCGACATGATGGACACGGACGCCACCCCGCGCGAGCGCCTGCGCTCCCACAGCCGCGCCCGCAGCCAGAGCCGCGCTCCCATTGTCAACAGGCGTGAGGACGGTGTCCAGGACGACGAAGCCCGCGACAAGGCCGACCGCCTCGCCAAGCTCTCCCAGAAGAAGCGCAACCGCATGGCGAGACAGGGTGAGGGTGATCGTCACACTACCGTATCGCTGCAAAGGCACTTGGTAAGTTTCGATCTCATGCGCCACCCTGGAATATCGTATCCAAATGCAAAGCAAATGCTAACCCACTACTACAGGTTGCCGGCAAGCGTGGCCTCGGCAAGAACCAGAGACGTTAAGAAAACCACCACCACCACCAACCCCGTCATCGCCAGCAGCGGTAGGGTTCAAAAAGACGGTAATGGATGTTTACGGAAAGAGAATAAAAGTAAATATGCTTTATTTATTTTGGGGGGCATGGAGGCGTTTTGCGGTCTTTGTTTCGTTTTGCTGCTGCCTTGTGTTTTTTGTCTTCTTCATTCCTTCAATTCTCTTGCGACACAAATCACATCACAACCTGAAGAGGTCGGTCGGCACGAGGCTCCCATGAGTTGGGAAGCTACGAGGGAGAGAAGGAGAGGGATAGGAGAGACGGGGAGAATCTGTGATGCCTTTTTCTGTTTGAGAAACGTATGTCAAAAGAAAAAGTGTCGTAGCATTACCAGCTCTACGTGTCTCGACATTTGATGGTTTTCTCAAAAGCCATCAAATCAAAGACAATTGAATACCCTGAATGAGAAATCTATAAGAAAACACGAGAAGACTTGAAATGAGCTCACCCATCAGCATTGTATGTCGGACATCATGACATGTTGCACCAATTGCATAGGGAGATGGAACCGAAAAATGTGGTAAAATGGCTTGAATAACTTTGAAGAGCACCACCCTCAGATGTTTACGTCCAAGATATGTGATATATATACCCCGGATTGCCGTCTGTTATGATGTGCGAGGACTCAATGCCTCTCAGACTTGCCCCTCCTCCCCTCACCCGCTTGAAAACAAAAGTTTCCATAAAGCATCCCCTCACACTTACTGCTCATCCGCAACTTGCAGGCCCTCTCTCAGACCCTCAACCTTGAGCTCCTCGCCGGTGGCGCGGCGGTAGATATCCTTGACATCGTCGGTCGTGCTCTCGAAGTGACTGCTGGCGTCGTAGCTCTTGGAGACGAAGACGTTGTCGCCGGTGCCGTCGTCCGTGGGCTCGTAGATGGGAATCGGGGCGCCCTTCAAAAGAATTAGTACCCTGCTTCTTACACTGCGTGGACTCGGGATTCTCTCTTACCATGAACTGCTCCTCGATCTTGCCGAGGCGCTCCAGACCGGGCTGAAGCTCGACGTGGTGGTTGGCGTTCGACTCGGCAATGGTCGAGACAATGGCAATCCAGTAGCCCTTAGGGCAAACGTTGTGTGCCGATGACACGCAGGCGATGTAGATGTCTAGCTTCCGTCAGTCGTACATTCAAGGTTCACTGTTCTATTCCACTGCACTTACCGTTCTTGCGGCCAATCTGGGATTGGGGAATGATGAGCTGGGAAGAGTCGGCGTCGTTGGTACCGGCCAGGGGGTGCTTCAGAATGCAGATGGCGCGCAGAACCTGTCCGACAACCTTGACCTTTCCGGGGAAGTAGCTGGGGTCACCAAGGATCATCTTGGCCTTGGTCTCGAACTTCATCTCCTCAACGCCAGTCATAGTGGCCTTGATACCGACAGCCTTGCCGCCCTCGTACTGCACCTCGTCGACGTTGGTGTTGAGCATGTAGGTACCGCCGTAGATGGCCGACAGACGGGCAAAACCCTGGGGAAGCTCGCCGAGACCGTAGAGAGGGTAAATGTAAGGAGACTTGCCGTAGCGGGACACAGAGGTTCCGTACAGGCGGATGCGCTCGATGGCCTCGGGGGCGGCACCAGGCTTAGTGAGGTACTCGTCCGTGGTGAAAAGAGCCATGGCGTGGCCGATGAAGTCACGAGTGCCGGTCTCAAGGCCAAACTTGTCGTAGACCTCCTTCATGGTGACATTGTTGATGTCGAGACCTGGCGCATGATTGTCAGTCTTGTCCCACGATTCCTCTATCCCTCGATGCTTCGAAATGACGAAACTCACCCTTGTGTGTACCGGGGTCCTTGCGATCAAAGGTGCCGATCCACTCGATGAAACTCTTCATGCGGCGCTTCTCAAAGATGCCCATCAAGGGTGAACGCAGAGCCTCGCCGGCATCGGAGGGAACCTTGGCAACAGTGGCCTTGGAGCTCTGGCCCTGCTGAACGTAGCTGCCCGCAACCTGCTTGAACTCGAGGTATCTTGTGACGTCGGTCGAGACGAGAATGTTGGTGAGCTCGCCGGCGGACATGAGGAACTTGGGGACAAGGTCGATGTTCCAGTCATTCAGACGTCCATACTTCGTCCAGGGCTCCTCGCCCTTTGCGTAGTTGCCGTACTTCTTGTAGAGCTGCGAGTTTATCGGGTTAGAGCCCCATTCGGACGGGAGGGTAGGGGGGAGTCGTGGGTGTCATACCGTCTCGAGGTTAACCGAAGCTGCCTCACTGGTAAAGTTTAGCTGGGTCTGTCATGGGCGGGAGCCAGATCGTGGCCTTGGAGCAGCGAGACTTACCCGCCATAGTGGTCGTTGCGGTCAATGTGGAGGACCTTCTTGCCCTTCACACTGAGGACACTGCGCGGGGAGGACAACGATTAGCGGAGCGCACACATGGATGGGCGGATGGCGACGAGAGCTGACTTACCCAGAGAGAACACACTCGGTCAGGCCTAGAAAGAGAAGACGGTGAGGTCGACCGGTCAGCCAGGAAGCTCTGTCGAGCAGTCGGGGACCCCACAGGCCGACGAGCGACGATGCGGGGCAAATAAAGGAGGATGGCGTAACGTCACTTACCAGTGCCCAGCACGATGACATCGTATTCCTTTGCAATCTCATCCATGGTTGCGGCTGAGGGGTATGTGCGTGTGTGACGGTTGTTGTTATATTAAAGTCGGTCGGTAGTTTCGCAGCGGAAGGAGAAGGGAAGAGAAAAGTATGAGGTGTTGGATGTCTGGAGAAGTAGTTGCGGTGTTGTGAAGAAGAGACATGGGGGAGCAACATGCAGCAAAGGAGGATCAAGTGGGGGGGCAAGAGCCACCTACTTTGCCGTAGATTGCTAGAAACAGTTGGGTTTTGGAGGGACATGGAGGGGTTCAGCAGTGCATGCGGCAGCACATCGAGCATCCAGTGTCACTGGGGGCCAGCCCGGTGGCCAGTGGCCAGTGACCAGTGCCAATGCTCGCTGGGGGGGGCCCGTCCTGGCTCCAGTTGTACCTCCAAATGGCCCATGCAAGGTCCGCTCTCCGCCCGCTCTTCTCACTGCAAACTATGCTGGCCACTTGCTCACCGCTAGCAGACTGAACATGGACCGACCGAGGCCGCAAAGTTGCAAGTGCCTTAGCTCTAAAGGTACCTCGACCTTTCTCTACTCTGCGTGTACCTGGCGCCCTCGGCGGTGTGAGTGGGCTTGTCTCTGCTACAAGGACCCAGCTCCCGCCCTTCCCCGTCCCAGTTCTGTAACATTATGCGAATACAAGTCTCATCTATTATTCAGTTTCTCTCTCTTATGCAAGACCTTTTTGTAGATCTGATTCAATTCTTTTTGAAATTAATCATAGCAAGCATTGCTGTCATATCACGCACGCTTTACGTTCTGTTTGACAATTGTACGTTGCCAGCGGTGTCAGGAGGGAGAATGATGTCTTGGGAATGGCTTCCACAGTACGCCTGGCACAAAATATTCGTATCGTACAAGATTCTATACATGTCTGGATACAATGGTACATGGCTCTCCCGTTTACGACCCTTGCGCTGAACGGGGAGACAACAAACAAAGTTGCTCAGATCTTCGGCTTGGGCATCGCCGGCGCAGGCTTGCTCTCCACCGGTTTGCTAGGCTTGACCTTCTTCGCTGGGTGCGGTGGCTTTACCTTGACCTCGACCTCTTCCTCAGCCTCTGGCGTGACAGGTGCGGCTTCCTTCTTCTCTGCCTGAGGCTCGGCAGGCGTCTCGACAGCTGCGGCCTCGATAACTGGTGACTCGACAGCTGCGGCCTCGACCTCCTCGGCGAGGTACTTGTTGCCCTCTTCCATGTTCTCGTATCCTGCCAGCGGCGTGTATGCCTCTCCTTCACCAGAGAGATTGATCTCGGGGTCGTTTTCGGCCAACCTGCGCGCATCCTCCCAGAGGTAAAAACGTTCCGTCAAGACGTGCTTGATCGCCTTCATCGTCGTGACAACCTAGAAAAGCGCCGGTCAGCACCCATCTCCCAAAACTTATGTGACAGGCAAAATACGAACCGTCTCGTCCCTACTATTGGCCTCGAAGCCTCCGAAACCGACTTTGCGTCTCTCACGCTCAAGACTCGTCGTCGCAATGCGGTTTCTCTCCTTCAGACAGACATACCACAGCGAGTGGAGGTCTTCCCAGTTCTTCTTTCTCAGCTCCTCCACCGTCCATGCACGGCCGTGAGACTGGTCCTCTTTAGGCGTGTTCAAGAGCTTGTTCTTGCCGTAGAAAAAATCCCAGAGCCCGTGGTTCGGGTCCGTAGGAACCTCACGCTTGTAGTTTGACGGCTTGGGTAGCGTCTCCCATGACACGGACAGCGGCTCACGGGGACCGGATCTCTTCATGGTACTGACACCTCGCAGGCGGTTATTGTCGCGCGTCTTGCGCACCGAGTGCGCAGCCGAAGTCGAGAAGCATGCCGCTGCGGTTCGGGATTGGGTGGCCGTTGCGGGTGTCGTAGGCAGCCATTGCCGAGTCTCCTGGAGGCGCAATACGCGACCTATCGATGGCCGCATCGCATTGGGGTTCGCCATTTCTGGCAATTGGTGTCAACGTGGGTGCTGGTAAGGATCACGAATCCCTTTCTGAGAGCTCGTACTATTTCGCCAGTTCAGAAATTTGGCAAAGCCTCCAACCAATCACACGCCGGATCGCTGCGGCTGCGGGTGAACGAGCTACCGGGTGGGTCTGTGCAGCTGTCAAGGACAAGCACAATCACAGACTTGTGGCTTGACAAGCTCATGTGTGGCTTGGGTACAACCTCCTGTCCTCTTTCTTTCTTCAACGTCCTACGATCTTGCTGAATCCCAGCTTCACCTGAAGCTTCTATCTCCCTTCTTCATATTCTTTCCCCGATCATGGAATTTGATTGAGTCTTCTTTCCATCGATTCTCAATGAGGCAACCGGGATTAGAGGCCAGCCTTTTCTACTCATTGCTCTCAACCCTGTTAACCGCATCCCCCCGCTTGCTACGAGGCACTTATCGACTGACGGACCAGCACGAAGTTTAAAATGGTGATCCAGAACCAGACCTCATTGCATCAAGAAGTGATCAGTTGAACCATGAGGTAAACCTAGGAAATCAGCCATGAGCCGGCATGGCTTTTCATGAAGTCTTCAAGTTCATCTCCCGAGCCCTTTGCTCAGTTATTCCTAAGCGAACGACATGAACACCTTGCTCAAACTCTATTCGAGACTTTTAGTGGCGAAGATGTACCTAGTATCTTCATTAGTGCCCGCCAGTCATCTCACAGTAGTCATCCCCGTCGGAAGCTCGCCCTCTGGATCATCGAGGCCGTTGAAGATGTATTAATCGACTACATATGGTGACAGGTTAATCTCTACTGACTAAAGCGCCAGCTGATTCCCACACACTCATCAAACTGACCCATATTTCACTCTTGGGCAAGCAAAGGAAGCCAGTTGAGCAGTGTTCTGGCCGTATAGCCCGCACAGCTACACTTGCGCCACCAGGTGTTCTTGGCATATTCCATCAACAATCTCTGCCATGTGCTGTCTTTTCGGATGAGTGCCAGGTAGATAGAAGACTTTATAGGCCCTTCCAATCCCAGTCCTGGCACCAGCAACAGCAGGCGTCTTCCTTGGTCGGTTGGTCAGGACAAACTGTGGAATGGTCACAGGTCGACATTCAATTACAGCCGCGTTACAGCCTGCTTTCGACAGCATACAAGTCCGAGTTTGCAAACGATCCCAGCAAATGCGCCAAAGTAACCGCCGAGAGATGTAGTCACACCGTTGTTGAGCTCTTTCCTGCCACCATTCTGGTCATTCAGACGTGCCTTGGTTGTATATCCTGTTGCTACCTAACGACGGTGATGCTAAAAGCTGAATTTTTACATCAGTCTTTGATATAACCAGGCATCCGAGCCTATTGCCTTTATAAATCTGGAGGTGTAGAGGAAAGAACCTGGATACATCGTCTCCCTATTCTTCAAAAGGTCGCGCTGCAGCTTGCCCATTGCCCAAAGGGCAGACGGCGCGCGCACTTACCGTGCGGAGGCATTCTATGTTCCTCCCAATCCCCTCCTCATTAGAAATCATCTCCAGCTCCCGAATCGATCATTTTCAGGTATCTCAGCCACGGTCTTCAGGCCCGCTATCGCAGTAGTTTATCCGAGCCCATCCTTGAGGCTCTCAAGCTCGCATCCTCGTCAACGCCCAAAGGTATAGAGACCCCATTTTGCCCCTTGGGAATCGTGAAAGATGCCATAACCAACATTCTCAGATATCCGACTACATATCCAGCGGAAGCTCCAAACAAACGATTCTATACCCATTGCGCTTCTTATTCTCGCCGCCGCAACGGGCTTACCATGCACATTGACCTTTTTCTGGGAATGACTTACATATCCTTTCTCAGGAATCACAAAATAGGCTTCTCAGAGGTTCTCGGTGAAAACCAGCCTGCTTTTTTGAAAAGCGACGCTCGATGACGCTGAAGTCGCTCGCCTGCCCTCATGCCCAGCGCATACGGCGGAAGTCATCCCCACTCCATTCGTCAAGCCTCGTGATATCATGCGCCAAGATAAATACGGCGATTCATGTACAAAACATAAGAGCAAGACATAAATCTAGAAGACAGCGTCTCACACGAGCGCCGAGGGAGCTGGGCGGTGATTAAAGGTGGAGAATACTAGCTGACTTCACACAGCGTCGCCCAGAACCTTGAGTTGCCATAATCTCATCTGGTTGTTTTCAACTTGAAAGTCCGGGTCTTCTATCCAGGGCACGCATGCCCGGAACCTCTAAAAGCAGTGTCAAAAGTTGTTTTTTTTTGGTCAGGAAGCCTTGACGTCCTCCGTGTCCCCACTATTTCCATTGCCCAAAGTTTCGCCTACCAATGACGATCAAGCTTTTCCCAACATTAGAAACACTATCCCCAGCAGCAGTCAACTCATCCACGCAAAAAACTTGCTATCCATCGCTACCGCCGCGTCCGACGTACAAACCTTTCCTCGAAACTCAAGAAATCTCACCAGAAGAGGCTGTCATTCTCGTGTCTATCTTGTCTTCTTCTGGCGCTCCTCGAAAAGCTGGGTTGGAAGTACCGTGCCTCTCTCTACATAAGGGCCCCCTTAAATCACACCCGCCAACAACCCGCATTCCCACTCCATCTCACATTACCCTCGGCCTCGCCATAGACCAGATGTTCAAGTAAGCTCATCCACACCACGACCCTCACCTCCACCCCCCCCCCCCCTCCCCGCGTTCCCGCTCCCTTTCCCACGGCCCCCAAACTCGGAAACCTAAAGTCCTTCTGATACCATACTAACAAACCCCCGTCCCGCTCCAATAGGGCATACAAGAACCTCACCCCAAAGACCCGCCTGGGCTTCGGGGTCGCGGTCCTGGCCTGGGGCGGCGCGGGACTCTACTTCTCCGACCGGGCCGAAGAAAAGTACCAGCCCACGCCCGAGGAGAAGGCCGTCGTCGACAAGTACGTCCCCAAGGTCACCGTCGTCGATAGGTCCGAATGAAGTGAGTGAGCGAGCAGGATGTTCATTCTCAGGGAAGATGACTGGTCTTGTTATTGAGGACAGAAGACATAGTGTCTCTACTCCGCATTGTCTACGAGATTAAGAAACTGTCTTCACTGGATGGTAAGAAGATTAGACATGTCCAAGGTGGTTGAGTTTATACAGTCGAGTCGATTTTTGCAGTTTCTAATGTCTAAGTTCATGCTACTAGTTCAAAAGAACAATGAAAAACTGTGCTGGCAGTGTTGCCTCTGCATCTCGTTTGTTTTTCTTCGTTGTCGCGATAAAAGGACGAGTACCACCCATTTTGAGACATCTAACATTAGACCAGACCAGCCTAGCCACGCAAACCGCCGAAACAAGTCATTATGAGCGAAAAGCCATGAATATCGTGACAACCTCATCGGGCCACCGCTGGTGCCACCCGAGAGCCTCCCAAGTTCTATCTGATCGCAGTCTAATGCAGTGCCAACTCCACCTCCCCGTCTATCGCATGAAACCACCCGCCACAAGATGCATATCAGAAGTAACCACCGTCAATCCGGCTTTGATGCAAGAGGGAATCGAGATGCTTTTCCGCAACAAAGCATATGAGTTGATGAGAACGGATCCGTGAGGAAACAAAACAGAAATGGTGGAAATGAGTAAAAAGAAACAAAACGCCGACCAAATGCAGTAGGTTTTTTTTTTGTGAATGTCAAAGCATGCCGCCGCCCGTTGTGCCGATGTTCGTTTGCACAGAAGGTATGCCTGGATCCTCCACCACCGCCGGAAGAGGTTTGAAAAGTCGCGCCATGTCGAGTGTCAGATTCGACACTCCAAAATCCTTGTCGATCTCTCCAACCGATCCCATATCCTCACCCCTAGACGCCCCGTCCGACATTACCCACGCCTTCACCGACTTCAATAGTTGCATCACCTGCATGAAACGCGCATCCGACTCCATCTGCAGCTCTGATGACCGGGTATGCTTCAACAGGTACTTGGCAAGCCAGTAGAAATGGATGCCGTCCCTAGAGAAACCATACCTACGGACGTTCTTTGCTGATCCAGGAGGGAATTGGTTGACCATGTCGGTATCCCAGTTGGTCTTGAACTTTTGCAAAGCCATGCGGAATGATTCGTGCACATGTACCGGAATGCCCTGCAAAGCGGGATCAACAGGTGTTGCCCTGCCGCTGTTGATGCCGTTGTCTGATCCACCATTCACCATCCAGTCGCTCATTGGTGGAGTTGCGTAACCCTTCATCACGGCACTGCCGTCCAATTGAGCTCGTCGGATCAAGGACAGAATGGCGTGTATCAAGATGAACTTTCCGTACAGGTTCGTTCTGCCTGGCTGAATCTGGTAGGACCCGTGAAGCAAAGCTTGGAGAGCATAGTCCATTTCCGGTTGCTTGCTGCGCCGTGTTCCGTTTGGATTCTTTTGCTGTGCCAACTCATCTCCATGTAAGCCCAGAGCATCCTCGCAATCCTTCTTCGTCCGTGCGTCCCAAGCTGCATCATCAGATGGCAGCGGGATGTGCATCTCGAAGCTGTCTAGTTGAGACTGGGCGTTGAAATAAAGTTCCATGGCGGAGTTGCAGAGAAGGATGATGTGCATCAGGCGTATCCGCTTTTCCTGTTCAACCCACACACCCCAATCGAATGTGGAGACATCGAAGTTCTGAGGGGTAAAGTTGCTCTGGTGCAGCGGACTGAAGAGGGGCATGCTAGTGGAGACCTCCAACAGACGAAGACGACGAGTCTGCTCCGCCATGGCTGGGAAAATCTCACGAGCGCTCTCACGATGCTGTGGTGTACTATTCCAGATCAGCAGAATTTGGAGCAGCATCACGGCCTGGAGTTGCTCAAGGTCGCGGTGACCGTTACTTGAGGCACCAGCGTCAGCGTTACCATTCTGCTGTTGGCCCACCGAGTTGGCCAAGAACTGCACGTCGCGAACAAGTGCGGACCTAAGGAAATTCATCATGTCGCGCACGTGATCTGGGGAAAGACGGTCAGAGTAGCAGGCGCCCATACAGCACATGCCAGCCAGCAAGCCAGTATAGGCTTCCATAATGCGGAAGGTGGGTGTGTGGAGAATGGGAAAATGGACATGGAAATGAGTGTACTTTTCCAAGAAGTCGCGTATGTTTTCGGCGGAGAAGTATAAGTTGAAGCCGGCGCTTTCATCGGTAATCGGGGAACCTGGAGGGTAAAAGAAGTTGAGGATCTGGTTGGAGAGATGGGTAAAGGGGTCTTGGATCGATGGCGGCACATCCCAGGTCGAGAAAAATAGGGAATCGGGGTGGTTGGAGTGGCCAAGGGGACCTTCTGTACTTTCGACGCCGGTATTAGGCTCTGGTTTGGTTGCGATCTGCGTCTGTCCAAGATTAGGGGGGAATTGAGTATGATTTGCGTAGGTTTGTTGCGCACCAGCCTGGAACATTTGAGACCAATCAAGGCCCGATTGTTGGTTCGAGTTCGACCCGCCATACATGGACATTCCATTTTGACCCGGGGGCATATTGTAGTTTTGCATCTGTTGATTCATATTGGGCGTCATGGAGCTAGGGACATTGCCGTTGTATGCCTGCTCGAAGTTGCCACCTCGGCCAGAAGCATCCATGACAGATCCTGTCAAATCCCGTCTGTCTTGGTTACTGCCATTATCAAGCCTAGTCAGGCTGCTGGCGCGCGACAACTGACTCTGATCGTTCGCAAGGTTGCTCATCCCGTCCGACACAGGCATCATACCAAAAGGCTGAACCATGCCATCCGCAGGCATGTTACCCAGACCATTGAGGTGGTTCAGACCGCCATCCTGACCAAGAGCCGCCTTCTGCACAGCAGCGTTCTTCTTGACATGAGCCTGAGGGTGAGACAAGTGACTAGCACCAGTCGGGTTACCTCGGCGAATAGAGCACTTCTGGAAGTGACGCTTGAGAATGTCACTTCGCGAGAAAGTGTCGCGACAAAGCACACACATGTAGGGGCGGTCGCCCGTGTCTATTCATATGCCATGTCAGCAAAGGGAATAAGCTGCGTGAGTTAGTAGTGGATTGCAACTTACGGCGCAGAAGGTGACGCTTCAAGTGCTTGGCGTGCAAGTAGGTCTTGGTGCAGTGAGGACAAGGGAACTTGCCATCGGCATCCTTGACCGGGATCACAGTGCTCTTGGTGTTGCCGGCGCCAGCGGGAGTAGCGGCAGGGCGGCCAGGAGCGCTGGGGAGAATGCCACGGCGACCCTGAGAGCCAACGACGTGTGTAGGCTGGTCAGCCTCGCCCATGCCACCAGGCATGACACCGCCAGGGCCGTAGGGAGAGTTCATACCGGGCTGGGGCATGACACCGCCAGCGGGCATGGGACGCAGGACAGGAGGAACGCGTCCAGACGCGGGGGCAGGCGCGATGGGCTGCGGGTGAGAAGAAGCCATCGTGGTCTGGGGCAGCATGGACGGAGTGCCGTACGCCTGAGGCGGGGGAGGGTACTGGCCCATCTGCTGGTACGGACCGCGAGGCTGCTGCTGCTGCTGCTGCTGCTGAGGCTGGTACGGCGGCATGTTGTTCTGGGAGCCCGGAGTGTTGGGCGTCGCAGGAGTGCGAGGTGTGTGAGGGTTGCTGCCGTACATTTGGTTCATGGCGGCGGAGGTCTGCGGCTGCAGAGGCGGCAGAGTCTGGTGAGGCAGCGGGGAGTTGGTGTGTTGAAGTTGATGAGGCGTGATGGCGGGGGGCGACGGGTAGGAGGCCGAGGTCGTGTTTATACCGTTGGTAGGGTACTGGGAAGCGTCCATGCTATCCGCGGCAGGTCTGTTGGCCTTTTGTCGAGACAAAGGCGCACAGAGCAGCTTGCTTGTTGCGAGATCGAGACGCGTTCTCACGTCTGTCTGTACGGGACTCGTCGAGGGCCTCGTGTTAAAATTTTGTGGGACAAGGACAGTCAAGTCGCCGACCCAGTTGAGATGTTGATGCAAGGGCGAGAAAGAAGTAAACTCGAGTGTAGTGATGCACAGTCGAGGAGTTCTTCAGGATAAGCTTTCCGCCAGACGAATGAAGGAAGTCGCGAACCCAAAGAAGACAACACGCGCAGAGAGGTGTTGTTTGTAAGGTGGACTTTCTGTGGTGGGATGAGGCTCCAGTTGATCCCGTTTGGAGGTGGTTTTGGGGAGGGTCGGGAGTGGAGCAGATGGGCCCCGATCCTTTTTATTTTTTTTTCTCTCGCGTTGGTCTTCGGCAAGAAAAAAAAAAGCTGTCAGGTACCTGGTGCCGCCGAGAGGGGTGTTGAAGGAGGGAGGGGGTGTGGGTGGGAAGAAAAAAGTGGTCTTGCCGGGGTGGGTGCCGGGGTGGGTGCCGAGGGTGTGCGAGGCAGGAACCGTTGAGCAATGGTCACTCCGTCCAAAGAGGTGAAGGGGGGAAAAAAGGGAAGAAGTGGGTTTGGACGTCGCCCCTTCTGGGAGGAGTGGATCCGGTGTGGTCTTTATGAAGGGCCTTTTTCGGAGAAAGTGTGGGAGGTTGGCCGTTGGTCGGAATCCTGGTTGACGGATAATGGATCGGTAGGTGAGGAAGGGAAAGGTGGGCAGGAGGCAGACCAGGGTGGGATGGTGTGTACCGGTGGATTCTTCTTCCTTTTTGTGCAAGGAAGGCACGAAGGGCAGGCAGGATACTCCGATACAGTACGGTATTGATGCAGGTGACTGCGAATGGCACGTAGGTGATATTTTTGCTGAAGTTGTCGTGTAGATCAGGTAGAGTTTAACGAGCTCCTCGAGTTCTTGGGTAGTAGAGAAGAGAAGAGAAGACTTGGCCGAAGCAGAACAAGAAAGTTGGAGGTCACCGCGGTCCAAGATCAAAGCATCTGAGTGAGGTGCGAACGGTATGAAATTTGGGGGGGGGGGGTGGATGCGAAAATGAAAATCAGTATGGTGGGTGACTGAGGTGGACGTGGGAGGGTGACCCGTTTGGCTTTCTTTCCTTTTTTGCACTCAATCCACTTTGGGCTAAGGTAATAAATATCAGAGGATTTGCCGGATTCTTGCCTGTGTGTCCCGTTTCGAGGACTGATTCTCGGTGATGGAATTTTTGGTCGAGTCAGAGTCAGTCGTGCAGTCAAAGAATAGGTAAGCGGCAGCTGGATGACGAAGACGAACAAGAGGCAGGGCTCAATGGGCAGAGAAGAAGTGAAAGGTGGAAGGCAAAGGTAGGAAATTCCGAAAGAGAAGGAAATGTTCCTAGGCACACCTACACGCAGAAGGAAGAATAAATTACGCAGACAGCCCAGGACCGCGCAAAAGAAGGAGAGAGACGGGGAGAGACCGCGCGACAAGACGACAACAAGCTGTGCAGCAAGCCAGGAAGGTACAAGCACCCATGTTCCTTCCTGATTTCCAAGGGCAGTTGAGAAAATTTTGAGGAAGCGCCTGCCAATGCCTGCGTCTGCCTGGGCACGCCTGCCTCGAAGACCCGACCCTCGTTGTACACAGGGCGAGCACTGTATGGTCAGATCTACGGTGTATGCCCGCAGTCAAGCAGAAACGAGGCCCTTGAGGAATACCTGAGGTACGCGATTCAAGAGACGGTGGTGTGTGCTGGGAAACAGACACACGGGAGGGAATGGGGGAAAAAGGTGAGGTAATGCGAACTTGGGTGCTTGGTTCGGTCGACGTCCATGGTCACTTGTGCAGGCGAGTGTCAAAAATCGAACTAGCTGCACCTAGTAATCCATTCATGTCTGTTCGCCTGAGGAAGGCGGTACGGAACAAGATACCTGGCCGAGGGAACCTGTCAGTATTTGTACAGGGCTTACGCCTACCGTGACTGTGGTCTGCGACAGGGCGGTGACGCGAACCCTTTTTCTAACACCCTTCCATTTTCCTTTCCACCTGAGGTGCACCCGGTATCGCAGCTAGCTACCTCGGAATAAGGTATCTCGTCAACCACCGTATTTCCTTTCCGCTGCTCAGGGCCGGAATGGGTAGGTGCCTACGCAGGAGGTGAGACTGCGTGCGGTGTTAGTTTGGCGCTTCACAACCTAACGAGAGAGATGACCGGGAGAGAGGAAGTAGAGGTTGGCGGGAGAGAGAAACAGGCATAGCACTGTCAAGGCCTGCATTAGATCGGCTGGGCTATGCACTACTATATTATTATGCTCGACGCTGCCATGTTTTCCATGACTCTAAACGGTCGGTTGCACATCATATTTTTTCTGTGCGCCCTAGGTATCCTATTTACCTCACCTCACCGTATGTACATCGTGAGGAAGTAGTGCATAGGTTAGCGAGTAATGATCGAATGATTTAGCTGGTATCGAGTCACTTGTCTCACCGTCTGCTTTTACCGTAATATCAGTCTAATTCCCCGAGCAATGCTACATGCCTCGCGGTAGGTTCGTTATTAAACGCTGTTCCAATCTTCCAGGGAAACCCTCCCCTCGATAGTATCTCATGACTTCAGCCTTCAAAGCTCCCCAAAGGAGGGAAAAACATAAGGGAGGAAAAATGTCGCGAAAACAAGGACGGGACATTTAAACTTTCTCATCATTACCATCCAGATGACAGCCTTTTGCACGATTTCAGGGAGGCAAAGGTGGCAGCAAACAGGCCGGTACCTTGGTGGTTGGTACAGAGTTCCGTACGTTTCTTCAAGACGGTTCTCCTGCGGCGGTGCCATGCCATGCCAACCATGCCGTGCTAAGCCAAGGTAGTAGCGTCTGCCTGTCCGCCTTCCTTGCTTGAGATGCCCTGCCCTGGCGCTTGCCATGTCTTTCTATTGCCAGTTTGCCGTGGGCATGGGCGGAAAGAACTCCGCATCCGCACACCTTCCTGAAAATGAAACCGCATTCGAGCAAAAGGTCTGGCACGCTGGTTTACTGCACCTGCACCACTGTGTCGTGTCGCATTGGATTGGATTGTATCGTAAGAGCCTGAGGTGATTGAGCGAAGGCACAGTACGGAGTACGGATACTCTTCGTAGTTTCGTACTCGATGCTAATCTGTGCCTGCCGAGCATTTGTGGTTCCTTCCTTGTCGACTAGGAAGATGAAGTTGCTTGAGTCTTGTCCCGGTTTTATTTCCCTTCTTCGAATTCTTCCAATACTTCCATGACCCCCCTTTTTTTCCCACTTCCTTTGGTTCCCGTCCTGGTTGTCGTTCCTCGTGCGCCTTTGCCCCGAACCAGCAAGAAAGCATCCACCACCCTTCCCAACCCCCGGGTTCAGGAAGAGTACGTCTTGAGTTGGTACTCTGTGTAGAAAATTTGCTCTATCTTGACAGCGAGTGACCTTCCCACCACTCCCGCCATGTATCCGACCCAACTGAGATGGCTAGAGATCCATCTCTAACTTGCCCCTCCCTAGGGGCCCAGCAGTGAACAACGTCCATCATCGCACCTCATACCTTACCTTACTTCGTAGGGTCCACACACCCCGAACTGTCTGGCACTGCCGCCGTGCCGCTGTGGTTCCCACGCTGGCACGTTGCTGGCGGTGTCGTTCAGTGGCTTCTTCCCCCCAAAAAGAGACATGCCCTGTGCAGACTGCAGCATGCCACTCCCGCGATTGTGGTCCTAGTCTCCCACGACCATGCTCCTTTCGATTCCCGTCAGCTGGAGTAAGTGGCCTGTACGGAGTACTCCGTACCTAAGGTAAGGTAGGTACGGCCAACGGGTATGATGGATGGTGAGATTCCTTCCCCAAACCCAAGGAATATACAGGAGAAGTAAGGTATCCGCCAGAAGGAACAGCCGCCCGCCCGCCATCTCGACCCCTCCTCGTCCCTTCTCACTACCTTACGCCGTCAACCCCCCCCCCCCAAAAAAAAGGTCCCCTCCCCAATTCCCGTTTTCTTCAGGATGAGAATACCGTACGTGCGTGGGTGGATTCCGGGTTGGATTCCACCTGCAGGCCAGCACGCGCCAGCAGATGTGATGAACCCTTATTTTTGTCTTGATGCTGCCAATTGCACTTCAACATATCATACTGTATCGTATCGCTCTCTCACCACCATAACAGCCAGCGCACAGCTACTCGAAACAGCTTTTCATCCTCTCGGAGCCCTGCTTGCTCTCCGTATCTCGGCCTTCCTGGATGCCGCCCGGCTGTTTTCTTGTTACAATGCACTTGACACACCCACGACACACGATACACGCGGTTGAATCGCTCCAATTCGTCTTCTGGCGGCCTCTCCTACACCCAAAAGACGCCGGGGAAACACTCATCATTACGTCAACCCCTGCTAATCCTACCATCAACGCGAGCTTCGTTGCTCGTTCACATCGCTGACAGCCTGGACTATCCATGTCGCACCGTCTAGGTGGCCACACAATCATCAGAATTATCTTCGACGACACCCACACGAGCTCTCATCACCGACATTGACCATCCATACAGATTACAAACCATGCTACTACTCTGTACTCTGTACAGTACACACGGAAAATCCGCCGCTTCCAACAGTTCATGGCCATGGGTGTCCTTCCAATTGGGCAAGGTACATATCTCTGACCATGCTCGCCCAAAATTGATGAGACGATTGCCAACCCTGCAAGCGTCACGACCGCCGCACGCGAATCGACGTGGTATCGTTACTCTGCACTGCTGCAGTCCGGCCACGGCACGTTCAATGTATGGGTACCTGAAAAGGGCAGGGCAGGGTAGGGCACCTTGCTGCCCACTGCCTTGCTCGCCGCCTCGAGATCCGAGGTACCCGCCAGCTGCATCTTACGAGGATCTGCCCCTGCTCTATGGATGCACCAACCATGCAGATGCTCGCTGGGCGTGGGATACTGGGCGGCATTCAGACCTCTCTTCTCATTCGGGAACGCTTCTTGGCGGCACCTGCTGTCTGTCTGCTGCAGAACAAAAACACGCGCCAGGGATGTGGCTGCATACGCGGTATATTAAAACCGCGCACAAGTCAACTTTGATCTCATCTTCCTAGCCGTATGGATATACAGGCGATGGTCGGCTCGTTCTGACATCCCGAATGTACAGCAGCAGCAGCCTGCACGCGAGAGAAATAAGTAACCCCTGGGGTGGTGAGGAAACACGTCCGGTGGCCGGAGTGCGGACGAGCTCCGAGCTGCCTACTTGTCATATGGGTCGACTCAATCTTGACAGTCCAATGCGGCCGGCATCACGCCGATTGCACAAGTACGGATACATCACGACGATGTACAAGTAACGGAAAGCGGGGTCTTCGGGGCCGAGTACCGACAAAAACACTAGGAACCTCCACGCCAAGCGTTATCAACGAACCTCCTGGCCTCCAAGAGCATGCAGGGTCACGCTACTACGAACACGAATCGTCTGGCGCCATCGAAGAATAGATGGGCGATGGCTGCTGCTGGGCTAGAATGGAGCGTACACTGCTCTGGGTGATTCGCTACGGCAGTTCACAGCAGGCGTAACCGCCGCACCCTCCCAGTCATCACACTTCCTTCACTTTGACAGTATGACGTATGTCAAAATTCTTTGGCATGTTCTGTTGAGGGCAATGTTCGGACACCATGGCCGAAGCGTCCCAATCACACCCTGCATCCATCCTGTGCAACATGGAGGGCAGCATCAACCGCGGTGAGCTGCCAGCTGTCACGTATTGCCAGCTGCTTCTGCCACTCCGTCCATCTTTTGCACTTACTGATCGCAAGCAACGAGCATGAATCAATTGAGTATAGCCACTCGGGCTTCGCGAATTTACCGTCACCTATCGTCCAAAACTACTGTTTCGAGCCATCATGCCATCCAGCCTTGGAATTACACGATGGTCCAGCAGCGGCAGTGGCAATCATGTTGGAAGCAAGGCAACCCCTCGTTCGTCGAGCTGAGCACCCAAGTCCAGAAATTCTTTAGAACATCCAGAAACCCAGTGGTTCGACGGCCTTGAACTAAGGAGGCTGGGCAAACCTTCCTACCACGCTAGGTACTTGTCCTGGGTTTTCCGGTCCTGTCCCAGGGAGAAGGGGGCAGCGTGCGATAGTGAGAGATTAGGACGGCCGCCTCGAAAGCTCTTGATGATCAGAAGACACGATACCAAGGTCTGCTGTTCATTCCTCTTGGCGTGCTCATGGCGAGGAGCCAAGGTACACACTACGGTTCCATGTCTTTCTTGGCACAACGATACGGAGAGCTCAGCATCAATATCGCGCACAATCACCCGTTTGACAGTATTGCAGAACCAATCCCCCACGGGTCCAGCGGACGAGCAATTGCCGTCAAACCATGGCTATGTATCCGTATCCGGCCTCTTTTTACCGCCTCTCCAGACATACTGTGTGCGAGAAACACAAGGCTACTGTTACCTCATGACGGATGTTGGAGGATGTTGTGCAGGATCCACGAGTCAAGCGAAACGGCCCCAAAACACACATTTCCGTGCAAGAAAATCGGACTTTGGCCGAGTCACCGCTTCGCTGTCAGCAACAGTCGCCTATGTCCGATCGACCGTCTATCATGGCGCCCGCCTGTCAAACGCCGGCTAGTTTTCGTGGCATCAGCGCCGAGGTTGAGAAGGATGATTCGCAATGCACAGGCGCCGCCACTGAAAAGATTGTCTGAAACATGTCTACAGGTGTCGGTTCAATCAACAGTAGGTAGTCGCAGCATGGACGTTTCTTTTGGATGCCCCAAAGAAGAGCCAGAAGAGCCTCACGCCCCATCTCTACCCGCGCCCGCCATCCAATGGGCATCTTTCGCATCATTTTCACAACGGGACGGGGCCATCTCAGATGATGGAGAACGGGGCACAGAGATCGATCTCACTGGACCCATCTCAGCCATGACCACGAACTCCTTTTGTTGCGGGCTGCAGACCTCAGAAAGCGACAGCTCGATTGACGTCGTGGCATGGCGTGCGAAGAGCCCAAAAAGAATGTTCAACTTTGGCAACCCAGTCCAGCATTCCGCGGTCTGACTCGACACGACACATGTCGCATACAGCGGAAATGCCTTTTCCCCCTGAGAGTATCGACCTAGGTTTCCGTTTGGCCGCGGTACTTCTTGCTGGCTCGGGAGCAAGCTCGTTCACTTGTACTGTGCGATTCAACCGTAGTACACCCACTACGCAAGCTTCCCCAGCCACTCCGACTACATCAATTTACAGGGATACGCGAAGTCCAGAAAAATTGCAGGACCCAAGAACAATTCTGATTCCTCAACCTGCTTTGCCCTTCCGACTCTCTTCTACCTTGGAATACGAGGGTGTATTAATCAGACACCACATCACGCGGTCGTCAATTCGAAGTTCGAATAACAAACGACACGACGCTGGCTGGGGGCCGCAGTCGGAGACGTTGCTCTTCACCGTGCATCGTCAGCACTATTAACAATGCATGGTTGAAAGGATCTGCTAGCAACAGTCGCCTGAGAAAGTTGGAGGCTTTGCTGAGCTGGTGGCCAACTTGGGTAACGACCGGGAGGTTGCAGCGCAAGAAGCAGCGACACAGGTAGCAGCCAGTATGCAGACTATAACCGGCTCTTCGACATAGCTCATTCTTGTTCGGCTACCTGACAGCAACCCCTCTTCACACCCCAGGCTGGGTGGCGTCGCTGGCCGCATTTCTCTGAACGCGAGGGACGCCGTCGGACGCATTGGACAGCTCGAGAATCGTGGGACGATGACGCTCGAGCATGGTGAAGTGAGGGTCCACGGCCCCATTCAACCCTTCTTACCGGTATTCCAAGTCCCCATTATTCTCTTCTAGAAGCACAGGATCCGGAAGCTTTGGCCATATTTCGAGATTCATCTTCAAGATGTACGACTTCGATAACTTGACATCAGACGGTGGCGCTGCAATTCCCCTCAATCCTGATGTGTTCCAAACTCTGTTGCAGGCCAATTCTAAGTGACGAATCACTCACGCCACGCTTGCATCATAAGCCCTGGGAGGGTGCAGAGATTTTTTTTGTGTCCGAACTTCCCCCGATCGAGAGATATGCTTGCCATGGGATACTTCAGGACGTCGTGCTTTGGCCTGGTTCCGGCATCAAGGTTCAAAGGAGGGGAGAGCAAAGAACTCGCAAGAGGCTTGGCTTGTAGGCTGGGAGCGGAGAGATATCCGACAGTTACAAACGCCGTGAAGCGGCTTCCGTCCGACGCTCCAACCGTGTCTACCGGTACATTATGGAGTCACGGTTCCGCATGCAAGCTGTGAGCATTCTGCTGTCATCCATGTGCGAATCTCGCGTCCGCGATCGACCACCACCTCACAGCTAGCTCCGAACAGTACCACTTCTCTCCCGCTGGCATATGGCGACCAAAGCTTATTGCCAGCCGACAATCGGCCGAGAAAGATGACAAATGTAACTGGTTATGGTCTAGCTCGATCAAATTGGGAACTCATGTCCGCTAATCTTGTGTGACGAAGCCACGATGCGACGAGTCCCACGCTGTATTCGCGGCCCCCAACAAGGCTGCAACGAATACTCTCTCAATATGCGGGAAGGAAGAAACTGACGGCATCGACCAGGTAGTGGAAAAAGTCGAGTGAAGACGCGCTCTTCCCGGGCTGCAACAAATATCCCAGTTGCGACGACTTGGGTCATGTTACAAGTACATTGGGATGGGCAAATTACGTACCACTAGGCGATAGGTGCTACTACGCGCACAGCGAACGAGAACCGAAACCAGAGCATCTCCTTGCGGCAAATCCCTGAAAGACGACTCGGGGTTTGCTTCGTGAGGTAAACCGATGCTGAGTTGTGGCTGGCGATCTCGACAGGGGTTCGCGTCAGTGCCTCGGTCTGATGGAGGTCCCGTCCTTCGGATCAACTCATCATCGTTCATTCAGCTACCAGCGTTTTGTCGCGCCAGAGAGAGAAAAGCTCTGCTGGCCAAGTTCTTCCAGCAATGGCAAGTGTAGGCGCCACAAGTTCAAGGTTGCTGGAATCGCTCTTACTTCCAAGGTAGATGCGGTCTTCCTCCAGCTTCAGCAGTACCTAGTGCGCGCTCGCGGCTGACAGCGGGTTTTTTGCAATACGTTCAAAGAACCTATTCATCAATTCTCCGCCTCCTGCCACCCATTATCTCGGCCTGTGGATGGTATTCTCCGTGCAACGGTCGTCCAGCCTTCTTTGCGGGGCATGTGGTTCTAGCAACCTAGTCCCTTTGGTGTTCCCGGAGGAGGCTGTCTTGGAGTTGGAGATTCATCAGCAGCGGGATCTCGAGCATCTTCATCAGGGAGTCGGGACCCTCCATTCGAAGAACAAGCGCGTTCTCGGTGGAGCTTTTGGCTGGTCTCCCGCGTGGCTTCAACAGAGTTGAGGCTGTTTTGCGGTTCCCCTGAAGACTCCACTGTCAACCACCACCTTGCGTCGAGATGGCAGCCGCAGGCCTAAGCTGAGAACCCTGCTGCTTTGCGGCACAAGCTCGATGCGACTGATGTTCTCGCGCGGAGGTGTTATCTGATTGCATCTGCCCCAACGCCCTGGTCGGACTTCAGGACGGCGGAATTCGCCGTCACGTACCGTATCCTTATTGACCGCCATTCGCAGAGAGGCTGGCAGATTTCGAGACTACCTAGATAATCGAATGCGCGCTGCGCACGTCTTGCAAAATAATGAGCAGGGGTGGCTTTTTTCCCTTACCTGACGCGAGTCATGAAGGATAACTACGTCAACAGATCGCGTTGCTTCCGACCTTTTGTTCTACGCAGTGTACTATCCGTACACTAGTAGCCCGTTACGTTTCCTTCTATCAACCCACTAATGGAGGGAATTCTAGCCATTCGTGAGTTGGCTTGTCACCATCGCAAAACTACCACACACTATCAAGCTCTGACTCGCTCGTATCCGAAGGACAGCTCGGAAGCCGTGAGCCCATGTCCAGCCAGTTCCGCTCAGCGGAAGTACGTACTCACAAAAGTGCCGGCCGGGAATCCCAACTTCTTCGCTAGTCAGGTTTTGACACGAGGAGGCGTGTTTCCTGCTCCAAATACCCCTCACGAGGCCTTTGCGAGTTGGCGGCACGGCGGCACCCTGGGATCGCTCCATCGAATCAGGGTCTTTGCCTGCAAGATTTGGCACAGTGCTTCTAGTCCAGCCGGATAGGACACCAGGCTGCTTGAGTCGACAAGTCGAAATATCCCCGAGATTGCAAGGGTAAGAAACCAGTCATCTCGCAGCGACAGCTGGACCAAGGCGCTACGAACACAGCTGGCATGGAAGCATTTGTTCCCGACGACCGCGCCCTAACGCAACAGTGACAGCGCTGGTCAAACTTTCACAAGCCTATCGTCTTCTTCCGAGAAAGACGCCGTGGCCGCTGCCACCGCTGCTACCTATTCAGCAGAGACAGACCTTCGGATACATAGGCTCACGATCACTCAGTCGCTTTGGATGACATGGCGAACCATAACGAGGTCGCGTCAAATCTCCACCTCGAACAGCAGACCCACGATAGTCCACGTGGGAGCGGTATGCGAACCCATGCCCGGCCGTCGATGAGAGGTTGAGGCAATTCCTTCTCGAAAATTCGTTACGCGCGGTTACACAATAGTTATGCAAGCATCTGAAGGGACACACGTCGCTAGGTGGCCACACCACTTGCTCGGCGCGGTTACTTCTACAAGTAAGCTGAGGCCTGAAGCTGAGTAGGGCTGCCCTGTGCCACACCACTCCAAGACGCCCCTATCCGTACAGTGTACGGTATAAGCGAATCGGTTCGGGTTTGCGCCAGCGAGCAGAATGCAGTTATGCCCTACACCGGGGACAGACGTGTAAAAGCAGGGCTTCTGCCGGCTCCAAGTGGGGGGGCAGTCGGGGGGCCTGTTTTTCGAGTAACTGGCGCGAGAAGCGTCGGGAATGCAGCTCGTCTGATCTGTCGTTCGGGCCATTGTCTACAGCTCCAGCCTTGCTTGTTTCATTTGTGGCTGCGATGGCAGAGAGATTGAGGGCAAATTCGCAAACCCTATCTGTATTCCGTGTTGCAACTTTGGGGTACCGTGCAGAGGTGAACCAGCCGACCGGCGAGGTGAGCCATGCGTCCCTCTATTTCGGCAGGCAAGGGGATCGTAACAATGTCGACGATGGATGTTCCTGCAATATCAAATCGTCATTTCGAGTGGCAGGTGGCATCTCCGGTCCATGGTTTGAAGGACGCCTCACGTCCGGGATGTGCAACTCGGAAGCCCTTCACGATTCAGTCAAGCCCGGGTATGACGACAGTCTCTGAGTTAAAGGACCGACTGATTCAATATGCTTCGATATGACATCTCGGCCGGATGCCGATCATGGAGCTTTTGCCAAGTTCATCTCGCCAGCGTCGGCCAATCTCACGGCTTTGATGGGACGACTCCTAACCAGCCTCAACCCCGGATCCCACGGCCGTGTATCACAATTTTTTCAACGACGCGGTCCTCTTCCGGGTGGGTCCCCCGCGGGTTGCGGAGGGCTTGCGGACCTTTTTTTTTTTTTTTTGTGGCTGCGAAAGATTAGGGGCAGCGTTGCAGTACGGATATCTATCTCAAGATGCAATTGCGTCATTTGTCAACAGTTCACGACTCAAGTAAATTCGACAGAGGGTCTTGCAACTTGTCAAGTCAGGTTGACGTCATAAGCAGTAATCGTGATCTTGAGTCTAGACTTTTATGCAGCCATCACGATGCTTATGAACGACTGAGAACTACAGAGACGATGCCAACGGTCGAGCGCACGCGTTCCGCGTTCCGCCTCTCGTTGTCGTTGACAATTGCGGTTCCGCTTGCGGCAACCGTCAATGCGCAACTCCAAAAACAGCCATCCTTGACAGACTCGGAGGCGGCATTCTACCGGACATTTGACCAGAAGATAGACTATGTCTATGAGTTGGGAGATGAGCTCCGGTCGCAATGCCCGTATGCGAGATTGGCCGCCATAACTTGACATAGGTTCTAGTCGCTCTCAAACTTTCACAGTGTCTATCAACTCTGGCATGCTTCAAACTATCGTCAAGAAACCCGGCCAACCTGCCTCGCGTTGTGCAAAGAACGAGAGTTACATGGAAAATGTTAAGGGGAGCCCCAGTTCACTTGGGAGTGCAGATACCTATTGTGAGCAACACGCAGCATTGCCATGGCATGACTGTTTCGGGTACTCCCCGGCCGACATACGCAGTACGCGCAATGGCCTGGCAACTAACCACGTAGAATGGCTTCTGGCGATCGGATTGGGGGAGGGAATGCAGCAGAGACAAGACTATGAATTGTTCTAGCCGAAACAGAACCCCTATTCTGTCGCATCAAAGAGCGCAAGACGAGGACGCGCACCACCCTAGTAAGGGTTAAGGGAGCAAGGGCAGCACGTCCGGCGGCTCTCCTCGAAACAGAACTTCTAATTCAGGATTCAAGGTGAGGGCAGACCGTGTTCGAACTACAACGCATTAGATCGTACACACAGTTCGGTATGTGTAATACTGTAAGGATGTCTCCTGATGCGTTTTGTTGCGCTCAGTATTGCTGCTATCCGCTGTTTCCGCTGCATGAGCGTTGCTAGCGCTCGCCACGACCAGTTTCGCCCCTTACCATGAAGCACAGTAGTATTCGTAGATTTTTTTTTTTGACAACGTGGATATGTCAAGCAGACGCTAAAGCTTCGATCGAGCGTTTCCAATGTTCTAGAGGCGAGGCTATGTTGCGCTATGTGATTCCGAGACCCGCACATGCCGCGTACCGGGCACAAGCCGGATGAGAAAATCACCACAAAAAAACAGCACCTGGCACCTGCATTGTGGACATCCCGGGGGAGGAGACTGAAAGGGAGGAGGTCCCACGGAGTAAGGATATCGGACGGCGAGATGGCCTCTCGCGTCGACCACAGTTGCCGATTCACCGACTTCATTCGACGTTCTCCAGTTCAACGTGCGAGCCTGTTGTTCCTTCAAAGGGGCCACAGCCTGTTGTTGCCCCTTTGCTCTTTGACCGGGCCCCCGGAGTTCATGGGAATCGGTGGCACGAGTGGGTAGGTGAGAAGCGGTCGCCACTTGACAAGGTTATGTGGAAGATATGTGGAAGACTGGAGGCATCTCCGGCTTTCATTGCAAATGGGCACAATTTTTTTTTCCTGCTAAGAGTCTGGGATATTGAGATTCTGGAATGCCGCGTGCGAGGTGTTATGTCGTCCTCTGGCACTCTGGCAAGTCTGCCTGGTGTAAGGAGTACGAAGTACGGAGTAGAGGCTCACATACTGAATTGTGAGTCTCTCTCTGTGCGATTACCGAGCGAACTAACTGTGTGTGCCTGTGTCTGATGTTTTTTCCCTGCCTCTTGTTGAGGCTTGTTTCTGCATGACGGACCGCGTTTTTGTGGGTTTTCGCGCGGCCCCTTGGGTGATGTCTCGGGGGTGATCTGCCGCGTGAAGGGGGGGGGGGGGCAAGGCCAAGCAAGGACAGCATAAGCAAGGGAATGAACCGGAGCAGACGAAGGCACAGAGAAGGAGCACAGTCACGGGGTCACGAAGGGAGGGGGTGCGCCAATGTTCGAGACGACGGAGGAAGTGAACGGTTGAGTTTAGTCCAGGTATTGGAGGAATTTTGGATTATCTCGGGTATTACGAGAGACGAGACGAGACGAGACGAGATGGATGGTTTGCTTTTCCTTTTTTGGTCTGCCTTTTCGGTGGTCATTTGGAATCTTGAACGGTTATTTGGTCGGAGATTTGGGTATTGGTCAAGACGTAAGGAAGCTTTTGTGGGAGATGAGTTTGCGTTTTGCGACTCGAGTCTTCGACAACTGAGTCTGAGCGAACATTGCAGAGAAGATACAATAGTTACGGTGGGTTTCGATGGGAGTGTGTGAACCTATGCGTGTGAATCGCGATATCGACATCGGAATAGGCCCAAAAATCAGAGTTGAGGGCAGTGTTCTTTCATCACTGGAAAGGCTCCGTATCTAACTGCACTCTTTGGACTCTATAGTCTTGAGTGTAAAGAGCACGGAACATCAAGAGGCAGATTCTCTCTCGATGGAATTACGGATATACGGATTTAGCGTTCACAGTGTGTAACTGTGTACGAAGTATGTATATCTGTTTGTCATTCGACTCTTTCTCTCTGTCACCTCTCACCCCCTCTTGACCGCCGTCTCGGTGTTTTGCTATGAACTAGGCTATATGATAGGGGTGTGGTTCACGATCGTGACCTCGCCTTACCTCATCCTCGAAAAAAACCAACCCCCCGCGTGACTAACCGTGCCCACCGACCGCCCTTCGGGTTGGGGTAAAGGGAAAAGAGGGGTAAGGTAATGCTGGTGAAAATTCTGCAACGCGTTTTTTTTCTTGTGTCTCTCGTGACTTCCAAGACTGGTTGGGAGAAAGAAGGAGAAAGGACACAGTAGCTAGCAGTCTTGGGAAGCAAATTCAGAGTCTGGCGGGCGACGAGGCCACGATGAGTCTTGCGAAGAAGCAACGAGGGGGGAGGTAATGCTTGATGAAGAGGAAGGAGGGCGACGGGTCAATGGGGACATGAACACCTTCGTTATATCATATCCAGATTGAAAGTCAAAAGTGAAGAGATATATATGTACCCATGTATAAAAAGTAGGATTTTATAACAAAAGATCATTGACCAGCCTGGGGGTCGAACCCAGAATCTCCTGATACCTATATTCTCCCCCACGTTCTCGTACAGCCAGAGCCGCATGATGTAGTAGAAAGAGTCGTAGTCAGACGCCTTGCCATTGGGCCAACCGGCCGTTCGTTAGTCGAACGTGTCAGTTCCCTCGTGGGATCTGGATTTGTGTGGTTCCTGAGCGGAGGTGGGTTGATCTTTGTGGGCTTTGTGTTTGTGGACTCGAAGGTGGGCGCGCGCCGGCACGGGACGAATCTCTGGTGGTGAATGGACTGGACCGTGGAGGGACGGGAGGGGATGTGGACTTCTGATGGAGATCTGCTTGGTTTTAAGTTATGGGTGATTTGATGGGTATCATGGAGGATTTGCGTTTTGTCTTGGCTTAAGGTCCCAGTTAACCATATGGAGTTGAAAGTTGCGTGTGGAAACATCACGAGGCTGTGATTATGGTCGATGTAGTTTATTTAAATACGGCTCGGGAGGCCCTCGTGTAGGATCAGACGAGAGGAGGATGCTTCAACTACTCGCTCTGATTTAGCTCCAGTGTCTCTCTACGCGGGCTACATGTTGTTGCTTCTCTACTTGAACTAGAGCGGCAGACGTGGAACCGGGGAACAGGGCATGAGTGATTAAGACTCTGGTGATGGTTTCAACAGATGAGACCGCTGGACAGCGTGGATCTATTCGATTTTCTCCTCTGAGTATTTGATGAGACAAGAATATGAGGTTGCCTTCTCCTGGAGTGCCTCAACATGTCCAAGGCGCGTCAGAGTCACCAGCACGACTCCTCGGACTTCTCAACGGATTCAGGCGTCAACCGGAACTAGAGATGGGCATTGTTTTCGCCGTTGCTCTATTCTCACGTTTTGTACGGTGGTAGCACTATGACGCAGATACTTTTGCTTGCGGAAGTACATCACTTTTCTTCACGACGCGATCCATGCTGACTTGCGTGTATATTTCTAAACACGTACCTAGTCTTGATTCGTTTGACAGCAACAACAATAGACAAGGCTACACTGTCGAGGCGTCGAGTATGAGACCAGCCACCCAACTGACAAACTCATAGAAGGTTGTGCTAAAGGCTGGCTCTCCTTAGTCTATCTTGACCCAAGGCTCTTTGCCTGATGACCTCGTATGATGTCCGGAGAACTACGTACAAGTAGAGAAAATGGCTGCACAAGTCGACGGAGACAACAAAGCCCGATGAATTGGCAAATTTGACTAGAATCTTTGACGATGAGGCCCAAAGACATGTACATACTTGTTTTGTTGCCGGTTCCGTGATTAATCACTTGGTGGTACGAAGAGTCGTGTTCGTGGCGTTGTACATTATCTCGACTGAAGCAGCCACGGAGGTTGCAAAGCCCGAGGAGCCAACCTAGGAACAACCAGAAAAAGCTGAGCCTACCCTAAAAAGCCATCTTACTTTGATAGAGAGCTAGATATAAGGCCATTAAGATACTCACTTCCTCGCATCGATGGTGAAACGTGAAGTCATGTTTAACAAAGGGGATGGAAGTGATGGTCGAGCAAGAGCAGTTGTGGCAATGGCTGGGTCCAGAATCTCCCTACATATACAACACTGTGAGGAGGAGTGCGAGCATCTTCGCGTCCTTTGGACTCTTTGTGAGGTCAATGTTATTGAGAATCGCAGCCTTGTACACGGGCAAGAAGTGGATGGCTAGCCAACGCGGACATAAGGAGTGTTGGTCAAGCGGAACTTCACATCATCATAACCTGGCTTCGCAGACGCTGTTACTGGATTCTACTAAGAATGCCAGCCCTAAGGACAGTAAGCATGCAGACTTTGTTGCCGCAAAGAAGCGGCCATTGAGTCCATCCCATACATTGTCCCACCTACAACATGAACACTGAACCCCCATCGCAGTCTAAACAACCCACGTGACCGACCTCGCTGGGCATGAGAGTGATCCGATCACAAGTCTCATGAGATTTTTCGTGTCTCGAGATGGGGCAGCGATGAAACTTTTACACGGTGGTACCGTTGGCTCTTCGAGGTTTAGTCTTCAGCCTACTGACAATCTTGCCCTGCCTCTCCTGAGAAGTCGGCCCCGCTCAGCTGTCATCATGTCTGAATCGTCTGGTACGGTCTCGCATGCATTAAGATTCTAGATGATAGAGTTCCCAGTATCAAACCTTGGGTACATAAGGAACCGAGAAAAGAGACTCCGAGATTAGGTTGGAAATCACTTCCTTTCCTCGTGTCAACGACGTAGTTGATATCTCGTTCCTGAGAATTAGGCCGTCTCCCCCGACGACATTACTCTGCGGATATCGAGCGCCAACTCACGTGCTTTCAAGTACCACTTAACTGTTGCCTGTTGCAACAGGGGCTATATTCAAGCTATACAAGAAAGGCCGTCTTCGTTCCGTCTCGCAAGCCTCTCATCATCGCCACAAAAACATAATCCTCAAACCTGCCCAATGCCATGAATGGTACGGACCTCTGTCAAAGTCCTTTTAAGATCACAATAAAAAGGCCCATTCAAGTTTCAGTAGAGTCCGGCTGTGTTCTGTCACGCTAAATTCGATATCTCTACAACGAGGCCCCCAGAAAGACCACAAATAACCAAGTAGATGGCGAGACACAATCCTGGCCAATGTCTAGCATACAGGCAAGCCCAGAAGCACATGCTGTCCTTTATCAATGTACAGTATTGCGTTCGTCTCGATTCTGAACGTGCTTACAGATTTCCCCCCGCCAGGAGCTATCCCCAGAGGGCCAACCATAACCACCCCGGAAACTTTTGGTCTTGAGAATTTCGAGAGCCCATTTTCTCACTTTTGGGCTCAGTGCCTTGCCCAAATTGGAAGGCATACACTCAACGCTAATAGTTTCGTACACTTCACCTCATCATTTCCTCGCTGCATTTAGTGAGACTATCCTAACATGCACGAGCCGTTGTCAAGGTGTTTCCTCTGCACCCCCAAGCTACTTTGACTTTGGGGGAGAAATACCCGCAAGACTAGCTCAAGATGAAGAGATGTTGAAGTTGTGCTCAACCCGCTCAGAGACTCGACCTGAACCGGTGAAAGATAAAGGCCCAGAGAGAGACCAGCTCCCTCGACCAGTTGGCGAGCATGTCTACATCCCATGCCCATTCAGTTGACCCAAATCAGAGAAAGAATATCGGAGCACGAAGAGAAGCCCCAAGGAAAAACCTCCCAGACTTCTGTTACAGACAGAAGAGGGAATCAGTGCTTGTGTAGATTCCCCCCTACTCACGTCCATCCCCCTCCAGCAAAACAGAAGTTTGCCCTAAATGGTCCTGGAACTCAAATCGAGACTTCAACAAGCGCCATGAAACCCACCCAAGGAGCTTTCCATATGATGGATGTCTTCTACACGCTGGTTCGTCAGTCTACTACCGCGTCTGGGTCTCCTAAGCGTAGTCTTACAGATGGCTCTCAGGTGCCTATGGAATTCCACTCGTGGGCACAACGAGATGGACCTCGTACTCAGTAAGTCAATCTCGTCGGAGACGATTCCTCTCACGTATCGTCACTGCCAGTTCCGGATATGAAATGGCCATACATATAGGGCAATCGAACGCCAGCCTCCGCGGGAGCTCTTACTGCTAGACAATCTTCAGGTGGGTAGTTACTTCCAGGATGGAAACATCTTCCTCTCTGTCTGGGTTGGACCTTTTGGGCACTTTGGGTCCTTATATACCATTCCCCCCTCCCCTCCCCTCCAATCAACCGAAACAAATGAAACCTTCATGCAAAAGCCTGCCTTACAATACGTTACGCGCCCAGAGGAGATGTTGGCCGTCACGAAATCAAAAAGAAGTGCACAGTCTGAAGGATTCTATACCTGTCCTTTCCCGAGTATCATACAGGTTGGGCTGCCAACTCGTCACAGTATAGACGAGAAAAATCCTGGACTAAGAAGGCCAAAAGAATCTTCGCGGGCTCGCTCGCAGCCAGGTCCTCCCTCCCTGTCATCTTCTCTCTCCCTCCCACTCTCTGCTGGTATCCGTTCCCCTTCTTCATTATCAAGCAAGAAAATCACAATAAAAAAGCATCCCTCCACGCCTCACACCCCGAGGTTTTTTTGATATGTCCCTAAAACTCCAGAACACAATGTGTGCAGCCTTGCTACAGAAAAAGAAACCTGAACAATGGACCGAGAGACGGCCAATGTCACAACCTGATGTAATTCCCATGCCTGCGCTGTTGCCGCCGTAGTCGTCCAGGAAGGGCAATCTAACCCCCCCCCCTAAAGGACTTGATGAAACAAGAAACCAGTCGTCCTCATGTTCGCGCGGGCCAAATATTGGAACTATTTGAGCATGGAGTGGGTGCGGATGCCCTTGGGGCCAAGCTCGCTGCGGAAAAGTTAGCAAAGCTACAATAAAACGGATAGTAAACGCAATGGAGAGGAGACGTACTTGTAGTCGACTCTGCTCAGGCTGGCTTGACGCTGAGCCTCGAGACCGGCCATATCGAGGTTGTGCTGGCAGAAAGCGATGCGCGCGGCAACCTGGGCTCCCAGGAACATGGCCTCCTCGAAGCCGTTCTTGTTCCACTCGCTGAGGTAGGTGGGTAGCGTCGCCAGCTTGATGCTCGTGGGCGTCTGGCTGTGGAAGTGATGGCCCGCAACGGAGTGAGTGCCGTTGGGACCAGCATCGCCGCTGGGACCCGGAGTACCCTGGTGCTGAGCGGAAGCCGTGGTCGCGGCCTGAAGCAGGGGGTTAACGCCCGAGGAGCCGGCAGCGGCGTTGGCAGGGAGCTGGTGCGGGGCGCCCGTAAAGGAGCCCGTAGGAGTCTGCGCTCCGGTGCCAGTGGGGGTCGCGATGTTAGACGGCAGCTCCGAAGTGAACATTGTCGCGGTGCTGGGAGAGATAAGGTGGCGGGCCAAGAGGGTCTGAACAATGTTGTCCTTCAAACCGCGTAGGCGAGCGCCATTGCCGACAAAGACAAGGTTGTCCCAGCACGGAGGGCGCATGTACATGTCGTCGATGCCTTGGATAGTGCGGTAGATTGTGGTGACGATGCGGTCGATCTCGCCACGGTCAGCAAAGGTGAAGCGCTCGAGACCGACTTCAATGTCGCGGCGGATGCGCTTGGCCTGCATTTGAGGAGCACCGTTGGTGGCGGCAGGAGAGGCCTCAGCGGGGACCATAGCTGATTGGCCACTTGTACCATTCGTCTCGGGAGCCGTGACTGGAGCTGCGGGAGCTGCACCGTCCGTTGCCGCTGCCGGAGCCGAAGACTCTGCGGGCTTGACGTCGCCTTCGGTGGTAGCAGGAGCTGTGGCACCGGCGGGCTTGGTGTCATCCGTCATCTCAACGTCCTTGGACCCAGTCGCGACAGCCGCCTCCTCCTTCTTGGGCTCCTCCTTGGTCTCTGGCTTGGGCGGCTGAACCTCCTCCATGACGACCTCTTCGAAGTGGAAGGTGTTGTGAGTTCTCTTGGAGTTGGGCAGACGAACCGGCTTCGCAGCCTCGGCTTCCTGAGTAGCCTTGGCCTTCCTGCCACCCTTTTGCTTCTCCTTCTCCTTCTTGGCGAGGAACTCGCGCGCATTTCCGCTCGTTACAATGGACGCCACATCGAGAACACCCTCCTCAGCCGCCTTCTCCTCAATGTCTTCCTCGGCAGCAGGAACAACCGGTTGTGCAATCGGCGCGGCGGTAGGGGCCGCATCGGCGACAGGTGCGCTGGGAGGAGCTCCTGCCGTCTGAGCTGTCGGAAGATCCATGAGAATGGAGCTGTTTGGCGCATATGGGAGCACCTCGCAGATGTGGCTCTTCTTCAGCTGCTCCGCCATGTCGTACTTAAAATCCTTGTCCTTGAGCTTTTCAAGGAGCTTGCGCGTGAACATGTCTCCGCCCGAGATGAAGCGCTCCGGGGTAGGGGAACCGAGCTCTCCATGGTTGACCACGCGGCCATCGTGTATACAGGTGACATCGACCTTTTCGTAACCAATATCCACCACGGTAAGACTGGGCCACTTGAGGCCGTACTGGGTAGCGATACCGCTGTGGATCATGCAGAGGGAAGGAGTGCGAGTCTTTTCGAAGATGTAACGTGCGATCGTCTCGGTATCGGGGCGGCACCATTGAGGCGAGGCCATGAGCATGATTGGGGTATTGTGGTAGGTGGTTGTGAGCATGCTGTGAACATGGTCAAGGAACGCCAGGAACGCCTCCATGTTAATAATGCGACCGCCTGAAATAAGACATCAATTAGCACCCCAAACATGAAATGAAGCAGTAGCAACCGAAAAATCGCACCTTGCATAGGGTAGACAGCGCCTTCGTCCGAGTCGGTATCCTCAACCCACTCGTAGTCATCATCGTCGGTTCGCGGGCCATCGATGGCAAGCGCGACATTGGCATTGGCCTTCTTGCGCTTGAAGGTGTGAAAGGGCCGCCACTCGTCCGTCTCGGCGTCCTTGAACATGCGTGTCGGAATACGGTGGACGGGCGGGGTAAGCTCGCCGCATCCCAGCTGGGCCATGGTGGTCTTGCTGCCGGGACAGATGATGAGGACCTGGTCCTCGCGGAACTTGCCCGTCTGGGTCGACATTTTGCCGGCGCGCGAAGCTTTCTAAGCACCGCTGGGAGTGTCCGTCAAGTTGCCGTTGTTGTGCGCGAGATTTCCTGGCGTGCGCGGGGTTTTGGCAGCGCCTTTTCTCGGAGTCTTCGTGGGGGTAATGGGAATCGTGGGCTGGCGAGGGCGCGGACGAAGTCGAGTCGCGTAAGAATTGGCGACGTGCTCAGAGTCGCTATCGCTGCTGCTGTTGCTGCTGCTGTTGGCACCTGGGCTGCCACTGCCGCAGTCAAAGCTGGAACTAGCTGAGAAGGTCCCCTGGATGGCCCGTGCCACAGATATCGCATCATTGTTTCTCCGAGCCCTGCAGCCATTGCAGGCACATCTCACTTTGGTATGAGAGTTGATTCTCATCATGAGATATGTTGGGGTTGTGGTGTTGATGTTTGAGGAGAAAGAGGTTGATGAGAATTCCGCGAGTATTGAAGTGTTGAATGTAAAAGAAAAGAAATTGAGGTAAGAACAGGGCAGACGGACCACCCAGGCAGAGAAAGGCACCCGGCCCTTTACCTCAAGCTCTGTCGGCTTCGTCTCCAGGAACGGCTTCACCTTCGTACACAAGGCGTATAAACATGTGACTTAATGATTTAACTGCGGGACCTGGCATCACGGCTAGTCATATTGTTCTGAATGATTGATCATTATCTTTAGGCAGTAAATTGAAGACTAGGCTATCTGTGCTAGGTGACCAAGCACACCCCTTTAATAGCGGTCCAGCTCCATTGAATTCTTTCACAGCACCTTGTTTGCTGTAAAGCATCGCCCCGATATCTACACACAATCCGGTCTCCAATTCTTTGGCCTGACCCTCAGATGCACTCCTGTATCTGATCTCCCCCATGGGATGGTGTTGTTGGTGCATCCTTTTGCCGGCCTATTTGTTCTGTACATCCGTAAACTCCTTTTGCCTGTCATAAAGTTGGTCGTTATTTATAAGCTGTTTGGTATCCTTAACCGAGGATGCCAATCCCAAAATGTCCAAAACGCCTGGTACACATCTTAAGTGATGAATGTAATACCTGAAGGGCTCCCAAAAGGTGCCATGGCGCCTGTGTCGCTGAAAAGACTAGAAATAAACAGAAAGAAAATGAATGGTATCATGCGACATTGACGGTCTGGTGAGTGGTGTGTCTCGGTTCAAAACTACTAGTTTCCCTCAGGGGTGTGCCCAAAGGGTTCATAAAATCTCCCTCATCTGGGAAGGCTCCAGGTGCCATAGGTGTGGCCTGCTCAGGCTCCTGGATAGTAGGGGTCTGAAGGGCAGAAACATCCTCTGCTTGTGGCTTCTCGATCACAGCAGATTCTGTCTTCTTCATCTCATCCTCGGAAACGTCGGGTGCCGTCTCTTGAATCGACGGAATATTGTCCATACCGCTTCGGATAGAAGATGAATCGATAGACTGTCTCGGCGAGAGGGTGAAAGAAGCCTGCATGGGGCTGTGAAGATGGCTGACGTCTCCGATATCGCTCTTGCTGGCCCGAGAGGTTCTCATGGGGCTTCTGGCGGGCAGAGGAGGAGGAATCCTCTTGGGGATGGTGACCAAAGCGCCCTTGGCGTGGATAGGGGCAGCCATGACGACTGCAGCAGGCTGAACAGCTGCAACCTCGAAAATGACAGGCTCTTCGAAGTCGTCTTCTTCGTCATCCTCCTCGTCATCAGCATCGACGTTTGGTTCATTCGTCAGGATATCCTCCTTCTCGTCGTCATTTCTGGAGATGATGCTAGCATCGTCCTTCGTGTAGATGCTGGAAGCCTTGGTAGCGGCATCATCTATAGTGCTGACATCGGTACGCAGGTGGTCGTCGCTGTCAGTCATGACAGTCCCCTCAATTGAATGGCTACCGCTGATTTGCCTCAACGGAGTGAAGTCAATTTTGGTGTAGTCAACCTCCTCAGGCTCCTCCTCCTCCTCGGGCTCTTTCAGAACGGGGAGGCTATTAATGGAAGCGCCGTCCTCGCTCTGGCTCTGACTCTGGCTAGGTGAGGTGAATGGCGTCCCTGTCTGATTCGACTGTGTCCAAGCCTCGGACATTTTGGTGCGGCTGGTTTTGGTAGACATTAGGCTCCCTCTGTTACTCTTTGTTGTAAAGGTCTCGCCGCTCTGCCTGAACTTTGAAAATGCTGGGCTCGAGGGAACAGGGTGAAATTCGAATTGGTTGCTCGTAGGTCGGAGGCGTGTGCCAGCCTCTCGAATCTCTAGCCCTGCCATTTCCAAAGCCAAGACACCGAAAGGGTCAGGGTCTTCAGTGTTGGGAATACCGAAAGGAGTTTTGGGTGATGCTGGCGAGCTCCTAGGCGTTTCGATCATGGCGTCTCCTGGCGCTGGCAATGCCGAAAGCTTCTTGAGGATAGCTTGGTCGGCATCGATCCTTCCTTCCGCCTCCTTGATGACTTCGAATAGAGGGCGTGTCTCCTCCACATGCCTCGACACATTGCCTGCAACCACGTCCATCGCCGTTACGTTGCCACCGTAGAATCTCTCATTTTCGTTGGCTCGTTCCGTCAAGATGCAGCCGTTCAAATTGACATTCTGAGTCTGCCCTCTCGCCTTCATGTATGTTAGAACGGTGTTGTCGAGATCCTTCCACCGGCTGTCGACCTCTGTGGATTCCAGCGGAACCAGCGGTCCGGCCGTAAGGCCAATGTCCTCTCCCAATGTGAGAGTTGGTTTAGTTATTAATGATTCGAGGGCGGCAATGTTGTTAATTACCAGGACACAGTCGTAAATATCAATGCCCATAATAAAGCTTAGTGAAGGTGTGTGGAGTAGGATGCCCGATGGTGGCGACCAAGTGCCGTCAGCTTTTCGAGCAATAAGGATGCCTGAACCGCCTGATCCGGTCATCCACAGGCCGGATCGCATGCAGGTAAAAATGGCGATACCTGCTGCATTTTGCAGGATACGGGAGGGAATCTTCTTGAAAATTCGTGCTGGAGTTTTTGGTTCGGCGTTGGGATCGCTACTCGGCTGATCGTCCAAAGGTGCGAGAAACCCGTCGGCTAAACGAGCACAATGGTGTTAGTGAGGAATCACGGCATGATGCGGACGAGCTTCAGCAACATTGTAAATCTCGCCAGGGTGTTTACTCACAGCAAAATGACTTCAATATGCGAGCAGCGCGCTCGCACTCGGCATCGAGGGTAGCGGGCCAGAAAGCCTCCCGACCAATCCGTGACGTTGTCGCTGAAACGAGGGCGTTGGTGGTGAGCGGCGCAGGAGGCTTGCTGGACCAGCGAAAGACCTTATCGAGAGGCGATTTGATGCTGCTTGCGGTGACCACACTGCTTCGACCATTGCTCGTGGTGCTGGCGTTGCTGGTCCTCCTCCTGGCTTCCCAGGATGGGAGAAAGCTCGAAACTCGTTGCATGGTGTTCGTGGCCCAGAAAGGTTGTGGTGGGCTTATTATGGGTGTTGGTGATGTCTTTCTGTCCCCGTTCGCGGATGAAGACGGGGGTACGAACGCAGCGACATGCGTCAAGGTATTCCGCGGTGTTGCTCATTCACAAACACCCAGAAACTCCAGCTCTTACTAGATCCCGCCAATATGGGAAGAAGTTGAAGAAGCAGGAAATAAAAGACAGACGAGAGATTGGGGGACGAATTGGGCTTTGTTAGACAGGATCAGTCCAGGTCCACTGGGGTCAACTCAGCCTCCTCCACTTTGCGAAAGGCCGGGCGAAGCAGCGATTTTTGCAAGGTGCAGCGCAGGAGCGACAGCGGATGGCATACAGTTTGTAGCAGCGGCAGGCTCACGGTTCACCACCCAAAATGCAGCGGGAACTTGAGATGGGAAGGGGAGGGGGTGTCGTGGACTCGTGGGTGTGTGGGAACAGTGTGTAGGTTACGGGCCAAGCGGGGAGCAAGTGGGTGTGTGTGGTTGCAGACGGGGTGGGCGGAATTTTGCTGCTTGGGTCCTTGAGAGAGGGGCGTGGTTTGCCGACAAGGGAGGGGACGGGAGAGGCCTTGGGAAGTTGGGACTTGGGAGAGAGAATGGTGAGAGGGGAAAAGGAAAGGTCTGAAAGTGGTTGCGCGCAGGTGACGTGGGCGACGAGGATGACAAGAGACGAATGATCCCTGCTACCCTTGTTCGTTGACGGCGCCGGGCCAGATGGGCCATGGCTCGCTCGGTCCAGGACCAGCATTTTGTTTTTTTGCACCAGACCAGACCAGACCAAATCAGACAAGACAAGACAAGACCAAGTTCCTAAGACCAGAACCAAGACCTAGCGGTTCGCAGGCTTTGTTGAGTCTTGAACCAGTTGAACGGCAGACCCGGCGCCGTCAGGATTCCGAAGAAAGCGCCCGGTGGAGGCAAGAGACGCGCTTCACAACATGAGAGAAATGGCGTAGAGTGTGAGGCGAGTATCCGTAATGAGATCGGGCAGTTCAGGTTCTCATTCTCAGCCAGAATGGGCCGCTAGATGAACTCAGCCAGACAAGCCCGGGACATTGAGGTGCTGTAAGTTTGACAGGGCACCTTACCTCCACTGTCTATCTATTTCCATACGTACTTAGTGACATGGTAACCTTATACCCAAAGTAGAGGTATCTATCTGTTTTGCCCTGCGTTGAGTAATTAGGTGTTGCCTCGTGCGCAAAGAGGATGATGCGATGACTGAGACCAGGGTCAGGGGACCTCTACGGCAGCGGGAAGATGGCGGGATGCAAAGAAGTGAAGTCTTTGAGGTAAGGGTGACCACACGTGTTTTTCACACGATTCACAACTGGGAGATGTCGGTACCTGTCACCTACTACCTCATCAAGTAAGGTACTTTACTACTAGGTAGTCTACATCGTGACATACGTGGGTAGACTCGAATCAGGCAAGGTGAGGAGAAGAATGAGAAAATTGGGTGAGCAACTGGCCCAGAAGTCTGGCCCGATTCAGCGCATGCTTTAGGTATCTGATGCCTTTCGGGCTTGCACATGTCCCGGGGTACGTCAACCCGAGGCGGAGCCAAACTCTCAGCTGAGGTATTCGCAACCTGACCGCCGACAGAATCCGTAGGTACCGAAACTCAGGACGCGATACGTATTCATACCTTAGACGTTGCGTACGAATACCTCAAAATGCTAAGGCAGTCGCTACACGAATCAGTGCAGCCCACGACAAACATACCCACGTTGATGATGAGTTAGGTACCGGTGGTATTCGTACGCGGGACTGGGACAGAGCACACTGCGTCAGGTACTTCCCTTCCTTGGCCGGGGGTTGTCATCAGCGCTGCAGCTCGAGCATCCTTCACTTGCCGGTAGCTCCACGGCCTGCAGCCTGACCTTGGAGCAGTGGGAGCGAACTTGGCTACAACGGGACTGACAGCAAAGTGCATGCATTGAAGGATGACAACACCGTCCACATCTGGCACCAGGCTAGTGTGACCAAGTTGCTTCCTCCCACTTAGACGGACCACTGGACATCGAGATGTGATGTGATGTGAGGGGAAGAGAAGGAAGCTATGCAGTGCTTGACCGAGTTTGGGGGCGATATAGCGGATTGTATAGAACGTGCAAGCAGCAGCCCGGAGCCTCTCGGCAAGCATTGAGCATTTTGCTGAGGGACCATGCCTGTTTCCATTACTGCATGAGAGCGAGTCTGAACGTGGCTATGATATGAGATGTGTTGTATGCTCGGTAGTACGTATGTACGGATATGAATGAACCCAGACGTTACGCTGGCAACAGCTCAAGCACGCACTGCATCCCGGGCAGGAATCAAACATCCAAAATGCATCACTCAAATGCGGCCTCGGCGACTCGATTCGACATGCAGATCGCGACCTAGAGAAGATGGAAGAGACAGTGACTGGAAACCATGCTACTGAACCCAAGGGAGAAAAAAAAATATTGATAAAGAATATTGAAGAGGAAGCAAGCATGGCAGCCGCCTACCCATCCACCGCCGCCGCCCCAGTCAAGGCGAGCAACAACAAGAAAGAAAGGAAGAAAAGACACTATAAAGACAATCTAACCGACGTCCCCGATCAAGTACGTTCAAAGACACAACTAGCTCTGGCTTGCATAGCTTGCCTGCTTGCTTGCTCGGGCTGCATGGCCGCTACGCTTGAAGCGCGAATGTCTTCAATTCAAAGCGCCTTTGCCTGCATCACTACCCCCATTGGGTGAGGCCATCAAGAGGTTTCCTGGCACGTTTAGGGTAAAGAGTAAGCGCAGGGAGAGAAACTTCTCCTCCCAAAGCATATTGAGATGAAACCTTGTCATTTCGTTGCGAGCCTGAGCTCCAGTCCAGTCGGCGTCCGCAATCTCGCAGCAACTCCGTTACCCTTCAACAGAGTCAGACCCCTTCTTGGAACCCTGATTGTCCCATTCGCCCGCCCGTCGTTCGTTGCCCAGAGCGTGCAGTAAATGCACCTCCAATCCAAGACATGCACGCAAGGAAAAAGAAAGGAAAAAGGGTCTGGGCGCAAGCAGGCACACGGACGCTGTTGGCGTTGGCGATCCCACTCATCTTGACTCTTGACTCGCCTTGACATGCAGCCTGATCCATGCATCGGGCGAACCATGCTGTGTGCAGTGGTACACTACTGCGTACACTACACTACACTACCGTACCGTGACTACCTGAGTCGGTGGAAACTTGGATAATGATGTGTATTTCCCATAAGCGTGTAAGCCGCTGCCCGAGGAGAGGGATAGAGCGCAACTTGATATCTACGCCGATGTTCTGTTGAATGTTTAAGATGTCAACCTGTGCAAAGAGAGAAGAACATAAGAAAGAAAAAAGTTACCTCCCTCGAGACATTCAGGGCAGGAACAAAAGATCGGGAAGTAGATGCCGTGCCTCACGTGTTGTACCTGGCGCTTGCCTTTTCGTTCTTGTCTCAGATGGTGGTGGTTCTTGCCCCAAAAGATGGGAAAAGAAAACACACGTCTTAGCAGAAGGGGGAAAAAAGGAAGTTGCCCCCCCATTTTGGCGCATACCATCGACAGCAGCCACAAAATCCAATGGCTTCTACTTTGCCCATTCCCGTCTTTGCCTCGTGTCTCTCCAATGGGCGTTGGGGTTTTATTTTCCATGTCTCTCCGTTGTCTCTCGGCGTCGCTCTCTTCCAGTCTCGAAGAAATCTCACAGATCAACGTCTTTCGATTTTCTACCCCGACAGCAATACGACCGTCCGTCCCAAGCGTGTAAGCATACCTACCATGACCTCCCGCTCCAACACCTATGTATACAAACTGCATGTTCCCAGTTCCCACTGCGCACCACCGACACAGTGGTCTTTGACTTTAAGGGGCCCTGTTTGCTGCAGTAAGGTACCTTGCCTACATAGATGCAGTGACTTCTGCAACCCAAGACCAGCAGCAATTGTCCGAAGGAATGTGCTCCGTTTATCGCTTGGCCCATCCGACTCTTCAGATCGCCCCATCACCCCACCACTCGTCGTACACTTCGGTCGATTCGTGCTGCCAGCCAACGTCAGCTGGGTATAGAGTACTTCTTGCTCCGTCGCTATCACCGCCGCCATCCAGAGTATTGATATCACACACCACCCACACTATCCGTATGCGTACATGTCGCAGGCAACCTCTAGAAGAGAGTGGATGCCCTTAGCTCTGACTCGCCTCCAAATGTCTCCTTCATCTTACCAAGCCTACCTCAGCTCAACATTGCCGAACCTGACAGAAGCCTTTCGCCAAAGACCAAAGGGTGTGGTACTCTATCCGGCGTTCCTGGCTAACGCATGGCCGTCGCTATCAAGTCAATATCGACGCAACCGAACAAACCATTTCCTCGTATGTGTCAACCAGAGAGCCTGCTTCAGTCAACTATTGCTCTGTCACCAGTCCCTACTCGGCTGCATCTGATCATTTGGGTCTCTTTTCGGTCGCTCTCGCACTCAACCCCGCTATCATCCTCGTGTAGTGGGCGGGGAAAGAGGGCTATATCGACGTTGCTCACCACCCTCCGCGGCATCGATCGCCTCTGCGCTAGCTCGTGAAAGTCAAGAAGACGACAGCCGTGCTGACCGGCCACGAGCCGAGGAACCCTCCAAACCAGATCGGGCTCAAGGCTCAAGCCACCACAGGGGAACGAGAAAAGCAAACACTGCGACAATGAACCATTTCAGCCAAACCGGGAACTGTTTCATTCCACCCGGGCATGGCCACCACTGCCGCCTCCGACTCTCCCGCGTGAATAGAGGCCAGCAATCATGCCCTAGGCACCTGCAAGCCCACCACTACTGACTATAGGTCCACAAGAGCGTTGTTGCTCTTCGACATACCGAGCGCCCCGGCTAGCTGACGCTGCAGTGAAGTAGCACTGGCATCTGACGCTATCACACCAATGTCTCAACCCTCCCTTGGACCCGAGGAGTGCAGATTGCACTGCAGCTCTGCATTCTTATCGAAGCGGGCACCGCAAGCATCCAAGCGTCTATGAGACGATTTTGCTGCAGTTCGGAGCCGGCCTCTGACCTCGCCTCTGGTCTGCATCCACCCGGCCACTGATTACTTACTCAGCGATGTGACGAATCTATAACACTTGCTTCGCATGACCTCCTTCGCCGTCGGCTGCCTGCCTCACATGCCGTTATGTGTCGCATGCTTGTTCCACGAAGGCAAGACGGCAACCAGCCAGCATTGATGTTGAAAGATGCTGATTCGGAGACAGACGGGGTTACCTGTGGTTTCGATGCGATCAGCCGTTCACACTCTTCTATCCTATTCACACCCGTGTGACATGCGGGTGGGGCAGACGTTCGGAAGTACTTTGCAAGGCACGCAAGAATCAAGAGGCAGAACTGAGGGCACAGGCCGGGCGGTCTGAATATGTTCTACTAGCAGCAAAGACCTACCTAGCGGTCTTGCTTGGCTGTCTTCCTGGGAGATCGTCCTCAGTAGCACCGGCGACAAACCCCGTGCATTTCCGGATTCTTCTACGGCGAGGCGTCCCAAGGTTGAGTCCGGTTATACGGACACGCGCGTGGCCAACGCCGATGAAATGCCAACGAGTGATTGATGCGTCAATCAACACACCACGTTGTCCCCAATTACGCCAAAAAATCCCATTGGACTTCATGTCTCTTTGTTCTAAATTAGCGAGAGTTTTTTTTAGTTTTTTTTTTTTTTGGATTGCTTGTCGCTGGCAGTGGCCATACTCGTGTTCCCCGTCAAAGAAGCCAAATTATGTATCAACAAGGCCATGAATTCAAGGTAGCGAACGCGGATACGGACGATCAATTCGTCCCAGCCACCTGGAAACTTCGCACATACCCCAGAATGCAAGCAAGGAAGTCCCACCCGAAAGCATAGTCCCACTCGCAGCATACCAATCAGATGCATGTTCATAAACGCAACGTCGTCTCTCAACCCATCGCAGCTTGTTCACTGATTACCAAGATCACAAGTGTTTTCTTACGAAACCTAACCGCGATCATGACTGCGTAGTTGACACGTATGTTTGTGCCTGAAGAGCGGCTACAACTAAGCTCTCGTCAACAAAACGATGTGTCACGCCAACCCACTGGTTTTGCAGTCACCTCTGGTAACCGGTTCGGTCAAATCGGTGGCTCCGCGTTGTTTCCTGTTTGAGAGAAGGAGAATTCCCGAATGTCAACAAAAAATTCGATATTCGAGACTCATCTCGCGTGTTGTCTCTGCCAAAAGTGGGAAGCCTTGGCCGTGGTTACCGTTTTGGCTTAACCGTCAGCCTCTTGGAGGCTTAAAATAGCAGGATTGACCTTGGACGTTGCTCCGGATGGGAAATGAAAATCCCCGCTCGTCCAGACGAAGCCCGAGATGGATGGAGCGGAGAGAGAAACTTCAAGGTCAAGGTGCCACTTGGAGAACCAAGCCCCATCAATCTTCAGACGACCCGCTCAAGCTCGGTGAGCACTGTGGCACTGTCCAGGGGTTTCGGTTTGTTTTCCTTCGTTCCTCCACTATTTGACTCACTGAAGAATGTTCGCCGTCAGGGGAGATGCGGGAAACCGCACGACGATGGAGACAGAACAGACTGGCTGGGTCTTCTTTCTGGTCTGGACTCGCGGCGTCGGCTACTCACCGACTTGTGGCCAACTCCGACTCTTTATTCAGGGGCGACCGTTGGGGTCTTGGGCCAAGACGCAGGGCGAGCGCCGGGCCCCATACGAGTTTCGAGCGCAGATGAGCCGTGTGCTGAATTAACAAGTTGTCGGGGCTCCGATTCGAAATGGTACGCTGTGCTCCGTACGTCTCTTCTCCTGCGTCGTCCTTGCAGGGCAAGGCGAGCCCGGGCGGCCGCAGCCGGGGGGAAAGTGTCTGTGCAATTGGCGCGGCCATTCATTCTGCCTGACAGAGGTTCAAGTCGGGTTCACCGGGTGCCAAGGGCGGTTACCAAACGTTCATTCAGTGAATAATCTGGGATGGTGAGCCTAGGGGAGGGTCGAGGATGTCCCACAACTGCCCTCGCCTCGTGCGTTGTGGGGGGCAACTGATGAGCAGAAAAGCTAGGGAACTGAATGGATTCTCCATCAAAGTCGGAGGCATTTGGCCTGAGCCATGTGGATTCGACCGTTGCTGCAGCCTTGTCTTGGGATTCTCCGAGAGTTGTAGAGTTAAAGACTCCAGACTCCAGTGATGCCTCCAATGAGCGGTCGATCATTTGGTGGGAAAAGCTGAGGAAAGAGACGATATTGCACCAACGTTCAGACTTGAGAGAACTTCGAGTGGAGCCAACGGCCAGGGGAGCGGCAGCGGCGCCCAAGCTTTGCCGGCGATCGTCACAGGTTCAGATTCACGGTTGTACGGGAACCGGGGCCACCGCGAGCCCTGCACTTTTCTCACCCGTCCACTAGGCCCTGCCTGCCCTGTCCCCGTTCGGCCCAATGAAGTTTGCAAGGAGAAAACTGCAGGGAGAGTCTGAGAGAGAGGGTTGAGCTGGTTTTCAGCTTGTCCAGTCCAAGGTCCAGGGTCCCTGCCTGCGCCGGGCAGTGCTAGATGCCATGAGGTCATCAAAACCCCTGCTCTCCTTAATCTCTCCGCAACAGGTTCTTCCTGGTTACCAAGCGGGTTGAAACTCTTTTCGCAGTCCTTGTTCACCCTTTTCATTGCGGCTGGCAGCAAAATGTCAGTTTTCCAGTAGTCATCACTGGACGATAGTTCGGACAGGCTTTCCAGTGAGCGCAGAGAGAGACATCATCAACAATAAAAAGTATTCGCTGACAAACTGTTGGACGTTACGAAATGTTTTCTTTTTTCTTCTCTTCTAGCGCCGAAATTTGTTCCAGAATAAAGGTAAATTAGCCAGAAAGTCTCTTGCACTACAAGTATCGTACACGCCAAATGAAACGCACATCATTCGCTCCCCGTTGAAAAAAGTTCATGGTCCTCGTGGTCCTCATGGTCGAGGCACAGATGAGATCGTGCCCCGACTAAAATTTAAGCTTCAGTCTAATCTCATATTTTTTATGAGGCTGAAGTTTTTTGTTTACAACTGCTTCTTCAGCCCGCCGATGGAGCCAATGCCGTCTGCAACGTCGGCTGCCTGCTTGTTTCCCTTGAGCTGGTCTAGCACAGTGATCGTTAGCGGATCATGGGGACTTATCAAACGGTTCTTGGGGGTTTATCGACTCACCATCGACAAAGTCTTGTCCTGCCTTCATGCCCTGTGCCTGCATCTTCTTCTTTTCGGCTTCCGCCTTTGCCTTGAACATCATGATGCTATTGTGCGCAATAAGTGGTTAGCTTCAAGACCGGACGGAGACGTTTTGAACCGCTTTGTTTGTGTGAAGAAAAAAAAAAAGGTAAAAACTCACCCGACTTGCTCGATGAGGGGGTCGAGCATGCCTTGCTGGTAGGCGAAGGTACCTCCGAGGAAGACGGCGAGGATGATGGCGAGGGAGATGATGAGGGAGTTGGTAGTTGAGGTCTCCATTGTGAGTAAGTTTTATTTTTGTGGTGATGCGTATCGTGTGTGTGATGTGAGTATGAAGGGGAGTGGGAAGACGATGTTGCGCAAGCCGTTTATTGAATGATTTACAAGTGAAGAGATATCATGTCATTTTCAATTTCACTGTCCATTACTGCTCATTTATATCTTCAATCTTCAAGCATCACAACTCAAAAAACTTGATCTGGCGCATATATTCTCTCTCACATGCAAGTTTGCGTGTGTGTAACGCCTGCTTTCTGTGCCTCTCTGTCTCTCTATCTTGCGCGCGTGGTATTGAATGTGAGTGAGCGAGAAGAGGGATCGGCAATGACGTCTCCCCATCCCCATTTTCATGCCGGCCTGCCTTGCGTGGGGTTGGCTACGCCGCATGGAAGGAGGGGCCAGAACGCGCAGCCGGGAAGATCAGGGTCTCTGGGTCGCAAACTTGCGTCAGAGGGCGGCGACATTACAGCAGAAAGAGAAGAAGACATCATTCTTTTGTTTCTTTCAGTGGACATGGTAATGGGGGACTGAGTGATTGAGACTTGATGGTTGGCCTTGGTATGGCCCTTTCCCACCTCATCCTACTATTCTCATGTAGGTAGCCGGCCGGGCAGGTTGAAACCGGGGTTGTTACTGGTCGGCGGTTTGACTGTATTCCCAACGGGGGCCGAGACCACAACTTTCCCCGCAACCTCATTCTGCGTTACCTTGGTAGGAAAAGTAGAGAGCTCTTTTCGGCTCCGAGGTCGTGCGGCGGGGTTATTTTCCGCCATAATGACTTCAGTGCTGGGGTCGTCGTCGTACGACTTGGCTCAACTCAGGACAATGAGCGGCCAGGGTGGTTGGTTCGGTTCCCCGGGACTGGACTGGACCCTGGTACGGCGCGAGGTCTGGTTATCGATCTCATTGTGCATGAGATGTGAGGGTTCATGGCATTCGTCACTATACTTAAAGTATCTGGGGTGAGCTGTTGCCCTCTGGCGGTCTTGTTCAAGCCTTAGCATGGCCCGTAGCCGTTAACAACTCTTTTCCCGAGGCTATGAGCTCGGCAGTTGCGAAAATGTGAGGTCTTCATCTCGGAGGGGGTTGGTTAGGTTGGTTAAAGTGGTTGCAGTTGCATGGGCTGAGTGTTATAGGGTGCTAGGTTTGTCTTATATGCCAACTCATTGCCCTTACACTACGCCGCCGGAATAGCCACGTTCGGGTATTTGTTCTAATGCGCCCCCTTTTGGCTTTTGGAGGCTGGCTTGATGGCTGAGATTAACCGTCTATTACCGTTGAAGACTGTGCGGACAGGGAGCTGCGATATTTCTGTGTTATAGCCTCACCAGGTCGACGCTTTCACAACCTCGGTTTGATGACAATGCCATGACATGATGCGCTCTACGGTGTCGGGTTTTGATCTTATAGTATATTATCTTAATAGACTTGGATAGGCTCGGTGGTGTCTGCATACTTATCCCACCGTGTACCTTCTGGGCCTTATTTCTCGGCATTGTGACAACTCTTGCACGAAGTGAGAATTGATATTTTACAATCATGTATTTGGATCCTACAGAGCCGCTAACAGATACGATCGAACTGTCCTTTTGGGTTCTCTCGCAGCCCGGCATCCTTGGGAGATTCTTCATGTCGCGAGTCCGTGGCTATATATTTGAGCAACGAACGATTGTCTTCTCAAGTGTTGTCAATCTGAAAGTCTTTGGGTACAGCATTGTCCGGCTTTTTATTTAGTGGTTCCTTGTCTCGTCACAGCCATTGCTTATTTTGATCATATCACGCTGTTCAAGAGTGAGAGAGAATGAAGAGGTTTGATCAAGGCGCCAGCTTGAAGACACATTCAAGTGCGAGCATAACCGCCCTCAGCCATCCTTGTAGTTTGGACTAGTCTCATTCTGTGGCTGTATTCCATCTCTCTGGTTGCGATGAGTCGTGTGTGTTTGGATGTTGCAGGTTACATCTTGATGTTATGCTAAAGGCACGGTGGCATCACGTCAAGGTCGTTTTGTCTATTGTGAAGGTGATCATAGGCTCTTGGAAATGGGTCAAGCTACTTCCTTGCTTGGGTAAAATATACTGGCCAAGCGACGGCTCAATTCAATCTGCTCATACATCTCGCTCATGAAGATATTTCACTACCTGGCTGTTTTCTTCACACCCAAGTCGTCCCGCCCAAAGCATTTTGGTATCGAGGCTCCCCACGAGACTAGAAGCCACCAGACGACCTCACCTTCTCAAACGAGTTCTAGACTCCTCATTTTCCAGTGCAGTGCTTCCACTATGAACTGGCAGTCTCCTTCTTGGCCGTGACCTCAATCTCAATCTTCATCACATCCTCCATCAACGCCGCCTGGATCATGGTGGCTGCGGGGCGGACCTCGCCAAAGTACTTTTGAAGCACCGGCCAGGTCTTTTGAAAGTCGTTGCGGTCGGGGAGGATGTAGCGGACGCGCACCACGTCCTTGATCTCGGCGCCGGCCTCGGCGAGGGCGGCGGCGATGTTCTCCATTGTCTGCTCCGCCTGCTCAACAATGTTGGGGGATATGACGCCTGTTGCATAGTTGTAGCTGTGCCATTGGAGTAATTAGCACATTATCCCATGTATAGATGGGTGTCTGTCAACCATGATATCAATGGGTGGTGGGAGACACGGACCCCGTGGTTCCAGACACGAAGATGAGATCGCCCGAGACCACTGCACGGGAGTAGCCGATTTGTGCCTCAAAGGCAGAACCTGAGCTGATGTTTCTTCGAGACATGATGGGCTGAAAGAAGGGCCGAAGAAAGGTTGATGCGAACTGATGCGAGATGGTGTGTATGTCAAGTGTATTTGTGGAAGGAAAGGGAAAAGGACGTGGTGGATATGATATAAGAGAAAAGAGGTTGAGTCACTCACAATATCTTAGGTATTCCCACATGTCAATCTCGCGATTTATACAAGAAAAGATGAACTAAGCCAATCAGAATCTTGTGCACAAGCCCGTAATGGCCGTATTGGGACACGGGCTGGGGATGGAAATGACCTTTGAACATGGTATCCAAAAAGACCGCCCAGCCTCAAAGCGACGCGAACACAATCAGGACTGTATGAGACGCAACAGGTTTCGAGGCTCGGCATACACGGTCCTGAAGGCGTTTGAAGTGCGCGAAAGGTTATTCGAGTACGATGCCGGTGTTATTTTCACGCGCGATGAGTCAAGCAGCCATTTTGGGGTTACCTCTTTACGGATAGGCCAACGGGCGGGTCTCTTGGAGATAAGATACACCTTAGGTGAAGCCATTCACCGAGCCAACCTGAGTATGAAGAAATAGAATATGTTGAGGGCGGCCTTGCTAAATTCCTCTTCGATATCTATGGAAGTTTGGCGTATTGTAGTGAGCGTGTGTGAGAAAAAGTCTAAAAATCAAATGATGATAGGACGAGCGGGGAAAGGCGATTTGGACTAAAGATTAGACGAGCTGCAGTTCGCCGCACTGTTCAAGATGGACTAGATTATGAAGAACACAATCCAGGTTGCCTTATTAACATCACAATCTTCGGTCCTGCCCTAAAGTATCCAAGCAATGATGACCTTGGCGAAGATCTTGACGCCCGATCATGCTCCGGGACGGTATGAAGAAAGGTACCTTCCTACCGATCGTCTTGGAAGGTACGAGTAAGCCACGACCTGCCTCCTTTTCCTCAAATTGGTCATCACGCATCTTCGGGACTGCCTTCCTTGACTGGAACCCATCTCATCCATATGGGTCCTTCTAGAAGAGAGCTGGGAGGCAGGTACGTCGAACGGTGGCCTGATGTGCCATCACTTCCGGTTTCTACAACTGTCCCTGATGTCAGTCTCTTCCACAACGTCAGACCCGACTGCCCTCCCCAGCATCTTCGTTCCAATTCTTTCCTGTAATCCCCTTGTCAACCAAATTCAAAGCAATCGATTTGCGAGCTATACATCGGGGAGAATTTAGTTCAGCAAACAGCAGAAGATAGAAGAGTCCCAGTTCAACTACCATCATGTCCGTCTCGCCATTTTCGGAGTTGTCGCCTCCGCCCTCCTTGACACAAGAATCTACTCTCTACTCCGACTACGGTCCAGACGGGGAGTCACAGACCCAGAACCGAGCTCAGGCCAAGTCCAAGACAAAATCTACCTCCCAAAAGTCACCATTCCTCAAGTATCCGGCCGACATCCAGCGCCTCACACGCCGCGGTCTTTGCACCTACGGCATCAACACGGGTCCAGTGCCAGATGACACAGACTGGACCAAGCTTACTGTTCCTATGCTCAAGGAGCAGCTCGCCATGCGTGAGATGCCGGATGATGGGAAGAAGAGTGTTCTCGTCGAGAGGCTCGAGAACTTAAGCACGTACAAGCCTGAGGTCGTTGCTATCAGAGACGCTCCTGACGACAAGCCATTCGGCCCTATCTCCAAGAACACCAGCAGCAACGGCGAGAAGCGCTTCTTTGTTGACACAGCTGACAAGAGCCACGTTGGTTCTGTCAAGAAAGCGATGAACGAAGACATGTTTGTGATCAAGCAATCCAACGATTTCGATGGTGGAGTCAGCATCAGCATCCGCGGGACTGGACCCGATACATACGAGGTCACTATCGGAGCAAAGACCTCGTGCACCTGCTCGAGCATAGTGGGTAGCGCCGAAGCATTACCAAACAATTGCTGACCTCAACTAGATGTTCAGACCTCGCAGCAATTGCAAACATATAATCTGTCAGCGGAAATGCTACCTTTCTCTCTCGCATCCCATTACTGACGAAATCGCAGACGTTCTGACACATGTCTTCCGGGCACCAGCAGAGCTACTCCCACAGAGAACGCTCTTTTCCGAAGAGATCGAGAGGCTCATCGAGCGTGCCCCTAAAGTCCGCTTCACAGCAGCGGAGGCCAGCCAATACCCCTCTATGTCGGACGGTATTGCGAAGTCCAAGGACGACAAGTCCTGCCCCGTCTGCTTCAAGGACATTGGCGAGGCAGAAACCGTGTGCTGCACTAAGTGCGGCAACCACACCCACTCATCTTGCTTCGACGTGTATACGCATCAGCAAACCGGATGGGCCCTCACGTGTGCTGTCTGTCAGGCTGGCTGGTCGAAATCGGTTGTCTAGGAGAAAGATGGCAGCTTCTGAACAAGAAGTCTGGAGGGGCTTTGCTGCTATGAGACATGACTTTTGAAGCCGTATGACTGGCTTCGAAGGGGCAGTTGGCAGAAGACTTGACGGCGCAGCCGGCTCAGCAATTATTTGCGGTGGAGGGGGAAGCTAACTCTCCGGCGTGTTGTGGTAGGACTTGACGGGCTTGAAATATCAATGAAGACGCATCTCAGATGTACTTTATCATCTCTATCAAACTTAAGTCCACGGAAAGTTAATGAAAATGGCTGGCAGTGTCGATTGCCTCTTCCTCTTAGTGTAAATAGATTCATCCGAGCTTGTCAAGCTTCAGTCACGTTTGCATGCCTTATATTAACTTCACCCTCGCCATATCGTTGCCAGGCTGTTTCACCTCTTATATGTACTGATTTCTTTTGCTATTTAGGAGGCGGCCAACCAAAAGTCTGGTTGAAACCGTCTTGGTACGCATCCAAAGGACGGTGACAAACTGTCTTTGCAGATTAACCGCGCTGCGACGACTTGCACTATACTTGGTCACCCTCTCCCTGCTTGACCAACTCCTCTGCGCGCTGAACGATAGCCCGCCTGCTCATTAAACTGTACATTGTGCTTCTCAAGTAGCTTCCTGAATTTCTCTTTCTCCTCATCTCCCTCCACCAATTCTATGACTCTTTGCCCACGATCATCCCAACAATCTTCTGCTCCTGCTTCCAAAAGCAGCTCAGCGATTGCTTGATTCTTATAAAGAAAAGAATCATGTAGCAGACTTCTTCCAGTTCTACTTATTCTCCTTAAGCTGGCCCCGTTTTCGATTAGAATCTTAGCCATATCTGCATCATGGCTTTTGATAGTCAGAACTATTGGCGACTCTAATCGTAGACCGGGCACTTCAAGGTCTATCTCGGCTTTGGCATCTTGGATGAGCCATCGGACAAGTGCTTCTTGCCCATTCATAACCGCGCAACGCAGTGGTGTTAGAATGCCTCCAGCTGACGTGTTCACAGCAGCAGGGCTCTTCTTACACATCAATTCCACAACACTCTGTTCCCCATCCCAAGCAGCTTGATGTAAAGGTAATCTCATAACCCGATCCCTGGCCATGACGTCAGCATCGATGTGAATAAGCCATGTTACTGTCTCCCACTTTCCCGAAATCACTGCTAGGTCTAAAGCAGATCTTCCTTTCCTGTCTTGCAGTGTTCTGTCCGCAATATTCCATAGATACTCAAGTGTGGCTTGTTGCCCATAGAATGCAGCCCAGTGAAGTGCTGTTTCCCCTGGGGCGTCAAGAATGTTAATGTCTGCGCCCGCCCCTATCAGCAACTCGACTGCTCCCACAAAACCTGTGATTGCGGCACAGTGTATTGGCGCAACTCCATCTCTACCTTGCGCGTTGACGTCTGCCCCCTTTTCAAGCATAGTTTCGATGAATCCATAGAGCTCCTTTGCAATCTCGTAGTCCTTTTTGTTACATAATCGATCTCTTCATATGGCGTCCGAGACTGGCAAGCATAGTGCAATGGGGGCCACTCAATCCGAATCTCGTGCATTGACGTCTGCTCCAGCTTGTATCAAGGATGAAGTGACGTCGTCATCATGCACCCCATAATGAAGAGGTGTCCAACTCAAGATATCTTTTGCGTTGATATCTTCTGCACGACGTATCGCCTTTATGATGCGATTGTAATTTTGAGTTCGGGCTGCTTCGTGTAGATTTGTGAAGTGAAACTTTTCGCGATACTCATCGTTACTTTCGCTATAGCCGAGGTTTCCTCTGTAAGCTGTGGACTGTTCCGAAAGGCTGCACTTCCATGATCGCTGTTGACCCTCATACATTTTCAGAAGACCGGCGAAAATCGGCTCAACTCCAAATGGCCCAAGGAAATTACGATCAAGCTCGTTTTCGAGATCTTCCTTCGCCGAACAGACGTCCGTGGACTCTGTTGCATACGGAGACCAAGAGTCCCATTCGTGTTCTTGTTTATTGGCCAACTCAAAGGCCAAGCTGACTCGCCTCAGGAAATCCACAGTCATGAATGTTGCTAGAGAGGATATTTCACTCTCAAGTGGGAATGTCCTGGCGACGCGGATCAACCACAAGTATACCTCTCCCGCCTGCTGCCAGTGCTGCAAACTCTCGTGATGTCGAGCCTTTTCTCTCGTTAAATTGATAATACCAGAATCCCCAGAGAGCTTGTTTTCCGTGCTAGGGGCGGGTATCATGCTCAGGTAAACGTCGCTGATGCTGCCGAGTCCGGTGCTCTCAACGTCCTTAACCAGCTTCGAGAGCTGGCTATTGTGGAGGACAAAAGACCTCCAGCTTGTATCAGCCGTCGCTTCATGTTTTGGACGTGTTTCAACGGGTCCTTCCAGCGGCTCTTCAAGAGTCCTTGCTGCAGACCTAAAAAAGCTCGAGAAGATGTCCTGCGCGTACAGCAACTTCGAGGGACCGGAGGAACTCGGCGGCAAAGAAGTCATAATTGGAGTTATCACCCTCTGTCGCAGGGGGAGTCTTCGGTGTTTCCTCTCTGATCGCGAATTCGGGCAATTCTTCTACACCATACCGCCGGCGATCGAGTTCAGCTCCACCAGGTCCCACAACTCTGTACTTTTCCTTGCATAAATCTTGAGTAGTAATTCCATGTTCTGGGAAGTTCGTCAATCTTGACAGCCCTAAAATCCTGGTTGTCTCGGTGGGCATCCACCACGCGAGGTCTCTATGCAAACTCTCCGTATACGGGCCTAGAACGCGCAAACCAGGACTCGAAGGCGACCCTTTGACGCGCAGCCACTTGTCGTCTTTGTTGTCTCCCACTATGTTCTGGTGGTTCGTCTCCTCGTTCTTCTCAAGTTCATCAACTGAGAAAAGCCACATCGACAAGGCTGCTTCAAGCTCATCTGCATGAGCATTCCATTTCCCTTCTATTCGGCTCAAGCGAAAATAGATGAGCTCTCCTCCATGAGCTACGAGAGACCAGGCGAAATTACTTTGCTTCGAGTCCCGGAACAGAATGTTCATTGTAGCCTCAATGGATCGTGCAAGAGAAACAGCTTCCGCAGATGCGGGCCCCTGCCAGCTTGCCAGCTGCGCCAGGTCTCTCCTGATCATGACAATACGATGTGCAGTCGAAACCGTTGAGCTGGTTTGCGGAACGTCGTCCTCGAATACTTTGATGTGTGCTTGCAAACGCACAAACTTCCAAGTTTCAGCCTTGAGCTCAGCTTTAGATACCCGCAGGTCTCCAGGTATCCACTGGCTATCCAGAATATCTGCGAACGTCGTTGCAAACCAATCGAGTTCAAAACCTGGCCGAGTTTGAAGAGATTCTGGTGGATTTGCAAGACCCCGCCGAACCCAGGCCCTTACACCAGCCATCAAGAGGATGGCACCAAGCTGTGCAATAGATACTGACCAGTGTAGCCCACGCAGACCAACGAACTGCAAGATGTATCCACTTAGACTGACGGCAGTTCCAATGGTTGTTTTCAACTCCAAGGAGCCTCCAGGCGTTTCGTTTGAGGGGGCGGTTTCTTGTGTTGCTTCATGGTTCGAGTGAGATCCTGGTGGCTTAATCTCATTGCGCCTGCGTTCCGATGTTGTGATGAAAGACCGTTTGGTTTTCGCATAGATTGCGAAAGAGTCGAATAACTGATCACTGACGGTTTTGGTTTGCTGTAGCCAGACCAACTGCGCCGTCAATTTGTGAGAGGGCCGGAATTCCTCTTCGACAGTGCTGCTTTCTACAACGTGGCCGCAAAGGAGAAGGCCAACAACGAGCAGAAGCGTCCCCACCCAATGGCATGGGAACGCATACTGGGCGACTGGCTCTCCATCCTTGAGAAAACCTAATGATGGATAATGTACGGAACATCCAGCGCATGCAATAAGTCCTAGCTGGAGCACAATCCCCCATATTGCTGCTATGCGTGACTCGGCTCTGCTTGTGATATTATGAGAGTTGAGGGTGATATTTGGCGAGCTCTTCCGTGGATTCCGCGTGATAATGATATATGACCTCGGTGTATTGGCTGAGTGTGATAATTTCTCCTTGTCTTGTTCCGTGTAAGTCGATAAGTTCAACGATACTGCCTTGCGAAAGAGATTGGCCGAGGATTCGTTGTCTAATATGAGAGTGAGAGCGTGCACATTGAAACCACTTGAGGAACTCACCAGCAAAGTATTGTTTTTTGACCTCATCGAAAGGCATTACCTCCACTTGAGCACCATCATTCACCCCAGACTCTGGCAGTAAGCAAATAAACTCTGCCACTGGAGCCGACCCCATACATCTCACAACCTCATGACCGTTCCAGAGCTCGCAGACCTCTGTTGAGGTAGACGACATCAACTCTTGTTCAGCAACAGCGAGATTCTCTCTAGCTCTGCCGATAAGAGCTTTCAGGAATCCGGCCCCCCGATTCTGATTGCGCTAATCATTATGGTAATAACTCCCAGAGGCACCATGGCCAGAACAATGTTATCAGCCCAGCCGACCGATTGACTCATGAACTGCATAGTGACCCTCTATCCAAATAGGGCGAGCAATCTTTTAATATACAGTCTATCAGTATACATGCTTTTTGCCTGGGATGAAAGATCTGAGGGTGCGAGACTCACGATGCTAGGTCTGAAAAGAGATTATTGACGAAGTCGTCTCCATCATCTGCTGCAACGCTCGCAGCGAGAATAACCGTGAAAAGAAAGGCTCGTGTAATGTTTGCTGCCGTTATTGCACATTTGTGTGCAATCAGTTGTCGAGTTTTGTGTTGCTGTTTCATCGGCAATATTGAGAAGGTGCCTCTAAGTGATTGTTAGGCGCTGGATGTCAAGAATATATGTATGCTTTCTTGGTGGTTTGAGAAAGAATGGCTGAACGAAGCATCCGCTGGGGACTTCTTATTTTCAACTGAAGGAGAACGGGTTTCAACATGTGGGTGCGAAAATTTCTATCATTTGTGACTGCCCAACGTATCGACCTACAGGCAATATGCATATGCAATATGCCCAATTTCCGCTGAGCTTTTCGCCTAGTGTTGAGGCCATTGACACGTATTATAGCTGAGATATCTCCAACTGGTGTATGATCTTCACGATTGGCGGCTATACGGCCGTGAACGCGGCCGACCACCTGAATGCGGTGACAGTTCCACCCTTTTCGCTGCACAATTGCACAAGAGGAGAAGTAAAATTTCGTCAAGCCGCTTCAGAACTTGGTAACTAGACTGGTCCTCGTAGGTGCCATTCCGATAATAAGTTCCCCAGGCACGGCTTGCGTCAGACAAAAGAGGCGACAAGGGCGCCTGCGCCGAACATGGAGGCAACTGTGATGAAGCTGGCAGTGGAGAAAAGGGAAATGCCGCTGAGTCCGTGTCCAGAAGTGCAACCTCCACCAATTCTCGATCCAAGGCCAATGAGGAAACCTCCTACTACCGCCAGCTGTGGCGAGACAGCCGTATCAGCGGCACCAAGGGCAAACTCGGGGTATGCTGTCGCGACAGCCCACGCGCCGGCAGCCAAGCTCGCAGAGAAGAGAATGTTGCTATAAGACGGCTTCCCCTTTTCGCCACCACCCTGGACCGCCCACCAGAAGTACCGTCCAATCTCGTCGTAGGAAGTCGACACACCGAGCATGGACTTGCGGGTGAGCAGCGAAAAGAGCTGCGCCAGACCGATCAGGAGTCCGCCGATGGTGGGAGCGACGACGGCATAGGGGCTGGCGGGAGTGCACTTCATGCTGGCGTAGATGACGCCCGCGAAAAGGGCCTCCACGCCAACGAAAGCGACGGCTCTGCTCAGACCGGCGCGCTCGTGGATGGTGAGTTTAGGGTTCTCGGGTGGTGCCGAGCTGGCGTTGCTGGTGAGGAGTTTCTGGAGGAAGCCGGTCCACATGATGCCAGCGAGGACGGCGCCACCGAGGACGTAGACGCCGGATTTGGTGCCGACGGCGATCTGGGCGAGGACGGTGCCGGGGCAGGAGCCGGAGATGGCCATGCCGGCGCCGAGGACGGAGCCGCCGAGGATGTTGCCGTCGTACTGGGAGAAGAGGCCTAGACGCGAGGGGCTGCGGGGCTTGGGCCGGACGTAGCCCGCCTGGTCCAGTACGAGGACGAAGACGCTGTATACCGTGTCAGTTGTGTGGAGCAAAGCAGGTGCTGGGAAAGCTGGACGTACGTGCTGCTTGCTGCGGCTGCAAGGAAGGCCTGGATCATGTGCCAGTTCTCGAACTTGAGCTGGGCGATGATGACCGAGGGCTGGTAGACGCCCGCCGCTACCAGGGCTGCGCCGAATGCGGCGCCGGATAAGACCGTTGTTGCCATGGCTTGGTCGGCTGTGGATGTGTGAGTGAGTGTGTGTATGTGTGTTTGTCCCGCGGGGAGCGTTCTGGGACGAACTGCTGCAAGCTGGGAGTTTGGCTGGTATGTGTTGTATATATGAGAGGTTTTCTCTTCTATGACTGGTTAAGCGAGGATGAGGTGGTGATGCGTGGTGGAAGTTCAAAATCTTCTAACTCTTCGAGCTGTCTCGAGACGAACTTATACAGTCTAAAGCCAAAACTGCCACAGAAGAGTTCAAACGTCTGGGAAGGTTATCGAATTTGCCAAGTTCTCGGGTCTGCTTAGTGAATCAAGCCCGAAAGCCCAGATACGTTCGGGGACTTGAAGAGAGAGGGAAAAATGGACCGGTAGCGGGGCCCTTGGTTAATAATCTTCCCCCCATTGTCAAAGGCCGAAGAGTGAAGAGGGCCAACCCCTGTAGAGCCTCTACCCGCCTTGGTCAAGTAAGTGGTATTGGTAAAACCCCGTCCCGTGTTCTGTTTCTGCGGCCGAGCCGGGCGTCTGGGTTGCCTTTTGTCAAAGGCGGTTTAGAGTGTAAGTGACGGATGGCGAGTGGCGTTGATTGTTAGACCTTGTTCCCTTTTCGGATAGCAATGACGCCTTTTAGGAGCTAACTCACGACATGGCGCTAGCTTATTTCTAGCCCTTAGGAAATGTGTATCCGAAGTTTTCTTTATGGTGTGAGACAAGCTACCTTCTCTGAAAGAATATGGCGGTTCAATTTGTACGCATCTCAGATCCCCGATGAGAAAAAGATGCAATTCAAGAACAGGTGATGCAGGTGGTGCGTGCGCCATTGTGGACGGTCGGCAGTTCAGGGACCATGAAGTCCGTCAGCAAAGGATTGATTGGGCAGAGCAAGGTCTCCGAAGAAGGGGGGATCAATAAGGTTGCAGGAAATCAGTTAAATCCCGTCCCAGGATGGTCCTGGATCCCAAACCCGAATTCGCAAGGGTTATTCTCTCTCTCTTCCTTAAGCCAAAGGGCCTGGGAGAGGACGGCGACCACTTTGAAGAAACGGTCGCCGACGTCGGGGAACTGCCGGAACGCACGGGCATCACCGAGAGTGGATACCCCTTCTTCACCGGGATGGATTACATCTCTCGGGGCTTCCGTAAGCTTGGGCTTCTTTCGGTGACTACTACCGTGACCGAGGGACTTCATGCTCTCTAGATTCTGGATTCATGGACGGCGAGGATCAAGTGAGATATTTCGAGAGTTTGGATATAAGAGTTGAGCAAGTGACCATGCTGTAAATCATTCATCTTGAAACTACATTAGTAGCAAAATCACCAAAACTAGCCGATGAACCGGGTCAACCAGTTGCGAGAACACATCCACAACGCCTCACTTACACACTCAAACATGGCTCAAGAGCCCGCAATCCACGAGATCTTTGAGCCGGTCACAGGCACATGGCAGTACATCGTAGCCGACCCTTCAACCAAGGCCGCAGTGATCATTGACTCCGTCTTGGATTTTGATCCAGCAAAGAACGCCATCTCTACACAAACAGCCGATGGTCTTCTCGACGTGGTAAGAAAGAATGGCTACAATGTTGTCAATATCCTAGAGACACACGTCCACGCCGATCACTTAACGGCATCCAAATATTTACAGTCTCGGCTGCGAGAGGCACAGGACGGCGCCGCCCCCAAGATCTGTATCGGCAGGCGGATCGGAGTCGTGCAGGAGAGATTTGCCGAGAAGTATGGCATCTCCAAAGACGAGTACGCCAATGCCTTTGACCGACTGCTCGACGACGATGAGGTTTTCGAGATTGGAGACCTCAAGGCTAAGGCCATCCATCTGCCGGGCCATACCCCCGACCACATGGGCTACATGATCGGAGGTGAGCACTTCCCCACAGACAGTCACGAAGAACTGTCAGCCCCATACTGACCATAAATTTCAATAGCAAACGTCTTTGCGGGCGACTCCCTCTTCAATCACGATGTCGGGTCCGCGCGGTGCGACTTCCCCGGCGGCAACGCCCGCGACCTCTTCGCGTCGGTGCGCCGGCTGCTCGATCTGCCAGAGACCACAAAGATCTGGACGGGCCACGATTACCCGCCGGCCAACCGCGGACCTCTGGCGGCGACGGAAGTGGCGAAGCAAAAGACGGAGAACAAGCACCTTGCGCAGAACGTGACGGAGGAGGACTTTGTCAAGTGGCGCGAGGAGAGGGATTCAGGGCTCGGTGAGCCTAGGCTCATGCACTGGGCGCTGCAGGTCAATGTGAGGGCTGGGAACATGCCAAGTCCCACCAAGGCTGGAGATCGGTTGTTGCATGTGCCTGTCAAGATGCAGGGCGTGACTTGGTGAATGGGGTTTTCATATCGTGTACTAAGATAGGGAGAGTGTGGAAAGGAGCTTGTTTCAACTCCCGTGTACATGAGATGAGAGACATGGAAGCGTCTATTGTATAGTAAGTTAACTCCGGCCACGGTCATGAATCAACTTAGGCAAATCGTCTTCGCCAGCCAGTCTTCCTATTTCGCATGTGTACATGAAGTTATCACCAAGATCGAAAGGGGTAGAGAGCATGTAAGTGTTGGTGTTTCTGACAAGGTACATTACGTCGGTTGGCCCATGCGTTGCAGCCCCCCGCGCCACCGCCGCGTGGGGAAAGTGCCGAGGTCTCGTCACTGAATGCGGGGAGTTCGGCCCCGGCTGAGTGGAGGGACAGGAGGCCGGGGGACGTCTACTCCCCCCACCAAATCACAACGTCAACATCGGCAGCGACCCGGTATATCATATTATTAATCTCGCTCGGTTCAATCATTTGCGTTCAAATAAGAGCTGGCGTGGCCCCCATTCCATTGAGTTTACGACACTGAATTGGATATCTACAGTATCAGTGTTGACGCAGCACTTTGTATGTTGACCATGCCTCACTCTATCACCGTCAAAAAAATCGAGGGGAAGCCCGGAAAGGTGTACTATCCGTAAGAAATGTAATTCCACTGTCAATTATATTACCGTGATTAATTTGAATCCCAGCCTCCAACTCAATGAAGTCCCAAAGCCTACCCCGGGGCCCAAAGATGTTTTGGTGCGATTAACGGCCGCCGCTCTCAACCACCGTGATCTCTTCATCCGGCGCCACCTGTACCCAGGCATCTCATTTGACCACCCCCTCATGGCAGACGGATACGGCATCGTAGTTGAAGTAGGAAAGGATGCAGACAAAGGCCTTCTCAACAAGCCAGTTCTCATCACACCCAGCCGCGGCTGGGCCTCGAGCCCGGACGGGCCGGAAGACATTCGCCAATTCAGCGTCATCGGCGCCACCCAGACGTACCCGGACGGCACCGCACAAGATTACCTCGCCCTCCCTCAAGACGAGGTCGAGCTGGCCCCGGAGCATCTCACACCCGCCGAAGGCGCCGCCCTACCCCTCGTCGGCCTTACGGGCTGGCGTGCGCTCGTGACCAAGAGCGGAAACGCCGAGAAGGGCAGGAACATCCTCGTCACGGGTATCGGGGGCGGCGTGGCGCTCCAGGTCCTCCAGTTCGCCGTCGCGTTCGGCTGCAACGTCTACATCACCTCTGGCGATGAGGCCAAGATCGAAAAGGCCAAGAGCATGGGCGCCGCCGGGGGTGTGAACTACAAGAAGAAGGGGTGGGAGAAGGAGCTGCAGGCCCAGCTGCCCAAGTCGCGGCCGTACCTTGACGCCGTGGTCGACGGTGCCGGCGGAGAGATTGTGGGAAAGGCGGTCAAGGTGCTTAAGCCCGGCGGTGTCATTAGCCAGTACGGCATGACGGTGTCGCCGCAGATGGACTGGCTGATGCAGGCTGTCCTCAAGAATGTAGAGCTCAAGGGCACGACTATGGGTTCGCGAGAGGAGTTTAGAGACATGGTTGCCTTTGTGAGGGAGAAGAAGATTAAACCTGTTGTCAGCCGAACGGTCAAGGGGCTGACGAACCTTGAGGGCATTGACGGGCTTTTCAAGGATATGGAAGCGGGCAAGCAGTTTGGCAAACTTGTGGTTGAGTTTGAGGAGCCCTCTGTGTCGCCTAAGCTGTAAGGGGGAACTTTGTGTTTCACTGTACGACATAGTACATGTAGAGTATCCTTGAGAGCACTGAGGATTTCTCTGAATTTAATCACACTTTACAAGAATTAAAAGTGCTCTTACTCGAGGAAATCATTGTTATTCGTACAAACTGGTTCCTTTCGGTTGATCGCTATCTAAGAGACTTCTCAGTCAACTCGTACGTCCATTCCGTATAGAGGCTAATTCAGCAAGCCTGTTGTGTCCTCCAACGTGACAATCAAACGTGTAGCCTTGAGAATCTTGCTGTCTTCAGCAGAGCCTACGTTCCCGAGAGGCATAGTTGCTATCTACCAAGAGGATTTGCCTAGAGATGTGTTTGCGCCTTCTCATTGTCTTTCAAAAGAGGTCACACAAACACAGACTCTACCATGGGCTCTTTCATAGGACTTTCGGTACTTGCTTACGTTGTGCCTTCCCTATTCGGTTTCTCCGGTTTCTCCTGCCACCTCACTCTTGGTGTGTGCTTTTTGATCAAGCCAAGTGTAAGTCGGTGAATATACGCACGTGATATGTGCCGTTAGAAATAATGGATATTCACCTTCAAACTTGGCCACTGGTTTCTTCCAGTCTACCCTTTCCTCTTTTCTCATTCTGAGCAGGGGACACCTCTCAGACGTATTTCTCTTGCTCGCTGAGTTTCTTCTTTCACCCACAATAAAGAAGAAAGGGATCCTGTCTCTCCCTCACCCATCTCAACCACAGCAAAACATCAAGCTTGTCGCTCGCGAACTCATACCACTGGTACAGTTTACACAACCCTCCACGGTGTGGAATAAAGCCATGTTCTTTGTCACGGTAATGGCCTTGGCGTTCCTTGCGAGCGTCAATGTCGTCGCCGCTACAGGTGGAATTGCAAGCCTCAACACCGTTGAGATTCCCACTGAAGCCACCTTCAGCAACGGTCTTTCCAAGCGCAACTTGTCCATCGGCCCCCACCTTGCTCCTAGAGACTTCCCTCACGACAATCCCCTCAACATCACCGAAGAGGAGGCCCTCAAGCACGGCCATAAGATCATCCCCGTCAACAAAGAGATCTGGGCCCACCTCGTCAAGACCGCCGGCCTTGATCGCAAGCGCAAGACCATCGAGTATAACCGTGAGCAGCACGACGAATATGTCTCCAGTATCGACAAGCGAGTCCTGAAATGCGGCGAAAACTACGACCTCGAGAAGGACCCTCCTGACCCGCAGAACTGGTGCACTCCAAGCCCCATTGTCGGTGACTGCCAGCTCGGTATCTGGTGCCAGGCCGACTGGCCGGGCTGGAGGCAGTGGCCTGGTCGCGGCTGGGTCTTCAACAACGCTTGCGAGCTTTTCGGAGAGAACGTGCCTTTTCAATGGGGTGACTGGCAGCCGATTTGCAGCTCCCTCCCTTATGTTACCCTCTTCTTCGCCCACAAGGACCGCTGGCCTCACATGGCGTAAGTTCTGTCCTCTCAAGACTTTGTGTCGCTTCTTGTTGGATGAAGACTAATACAGTCTACTCTAGATACGGTGGCAAATACTACAACAGCTACGCCCCTGGATGGGAGATTTACTATCCCGAATCGCCGGAGGGTGGCCCTTTCCCGGCTAGCTACTATTATCATCGTACCTTTGACTGCTCGATGAAGCCGAAGAATTGAGGCCAGATCGGTACAGGTGTTTGAAGGGGCAGTCGAATGCTGGAAATGATTCCTCCGCATGACCGATACCTCGATCACACGCCTTCGGCAATGGGAGGAATGAGTACGGCTTGGCTTCGAAGAAACAGGACTTGCCTGGAGAAACACAAAGGTTGGAGATAGAGTAAATCCTGGGTCGCCTAGCTTAGGTAGCGAACACCACCTTAGTTTCTCAAGACAATCGCATTACACATCGTAACCTTTTTCCTATATTGACATTTCGCTTTTGATTTACAACCCTTCAGATGGTGTAGTCTGGTCAGGTCGCCGACATGTCAGAAGACTCTTGAACTCTTGAATGGAAGGGTATCTTGAGTGAGCTAACACCTCACCTACGTACGTGGCGACCCCTTTTCTGCAAAGATGCAACAGACACCTGGCCCAGTCTACACACTTTCTTCCACCCTCTCTCCGTTTCAGACCATCCTGACCCCTCACTCGTCGTCCTCGCTCTTCTTTCTCTTCTTCCTCTTGTGACCGAGCTCTTCGGGGGGTATAAAGTCCTTTTCCCTCTCGCGCAGCTTCTCCTCCTTCTTCTGCTTCTGCTGCTCCAAGCGCTCGGCCTGCGCGGCCTTGTTTTTGGCCTCCTTGCCCAAAAAGTACTCGCCTGTCTCGATCTGCTTGTCGACCTTGCTCTTCTCGGGCGCGGGCGGGAAGGGCGTGTAGACCTTTTTGGTCTTGTCCGTGACGTTGTGTGGCACGCGACGGCGGCTGAGCGACTTCTTCTTGAAATTAGGCAGGAAGCGATCCCAGCTCTCCTCGGCGAGCTCCGGGTCCTTTGCGAGCTCGCGCTTGATCATGAGCTCCTTGACGTGGTAGATGGGGTGGATGTTCTCCATGCAGTCCTGGACGACGCGGCGCACCTCCTTGAGGCCCTTGTAAGGGCCCATGACAGAGACAGTGCTGCCCTGCACCAGGATGTAGGTCTGGGTGAGCAGCTCGAGGGCTTTAAGGGTCGAGCCGTTGGGGCCGAGGATGCGCTGGCGGCGCTTGACGTAGCGCTCCTTGTTGCGGACCAGGTTGCGAATCTTGATGATGTCGCATGCGACGCCGTCGTCGAGGATCTTGAGAGCCTGCGGTGCGGGCACGCTTCGGGCCAGGAGCTTGATGAGGTCGCGGGCGTTGAGGATGGCGGCGGGGTCAAATGTTTTTCTGTAGGCAGAGAGCGGCATGTTAGTTGCTGTGGTGGACTAGGCATGGCATTGGGGGAGTGGATTGCAAATTGAATACGGACCTTGTTGTCTTGACAGTCATTGAACCCTCAATCAAGTCGAGAGAGCAAGCGATGCCCGTCTTCTCGAGAGCCTTTGTGACGAGAGGCCATGCCTCCTTGAGGTACACTTCGCGGTACTTGGGGAAGACGATCTGGAAGGAGGATTCCTCAGCAAATGTGCCGCCGGCGTTGTCGGCCGGTGTGAAGGCGTCGATTTTCCATTTGTCGATGTCGTCCGTGTCCCACGGCTTGTCCTTCTTGTATGTGGAGGGCATCTTGTCGGTTGTCGCGTGTTTGCAAGACAATGGAATCTACGCCGAATTGTATACGAGAAAAGTTTCGTAGTTACTTACTGGTGGCTGCGGCGAACTTTTTCTTATCGATAACGCTGGGGACGGCACGTGGGGCACACCGGTTTTTATGGGGCCCAGTCTGGTATCCTCAAGGTGAAGCCGGCCTAGCTCACATCGTGGGAGGTGAGGACAGTGACAGTGACAGTATCAAGGGCAGTGGCTTTAATCTTGACAATTGCTGCAGTACGAATGCAACTGTAACTTAGTGGCATGTCCGGAATGCCCATCGGTTCAGAGTTTCCAATCAGTCCAGGGCTGCTGCTTTCATAGTTGCTATGTAGTTGCAACCCCTTTTGTGCAAGTCACAACTGGACAGCGATGTGCGGGATTCTGGCGAAGGCTGTTTTGGTATGTCACTCCGAAAACCACGTCCATCCGAACAGAGTGATCTATCGCATATATGTGTCCAAGTTTTCGAGGTGTCTCACCGGCGCTCCAAATCGGGAATCTGCAAAGCGTATCCGTACCTTATCACCCTAAGGTACCTTAAGAGTCGGCGTCGCCGTGAGATCTTCATATCAGATAACAGCGAACCTTCTTTCAGCGCTTATGCTTGCGGGTACTGGGGCCATTGCGACCCCCCCAAGTATTGGCTACTCTTTCTGATGATCAGGAAGAGAAAACTTCAAGATCCTGACACATCAACACAGCGCGTGCTGTAAGGCTGAATGGGGTAGCCGATCCAATCAAATCGCGGCTTCCGTAATACGGTCCAGTGGGACAACCAGCTGGGTAATCAGTATCGCCGATAGGCTCAGTTGGCAGTTATCGCGTCCCGTCCATCCCCAGTAAATTTGGCCCTCCATCCTCATCGATTAAGGGGATGCGGGATGAAATCAATCCGTTCGCCATTCCATCTATCCTCCCCTATTCCAAAAGTCAACCAACTTTTGCATCCAACGTGCCTTCGTAATGTCTGAGACCTGGCTGTAGCTTTACCTTGTAACCTTAGTTTCCTCCCCGCAATTCTGTCCCAGGGAACGTACCTGCCTCCCCCCTCCAACTCAACCATTTGCTCCTTTCTGAGTCGCCTCCAGCGCGTCTTCCCGCTGAACAATTTTTTTTTCGCCCTCCTGCGTATTTGCACCTGCCACCTACCACCCACGGCCTCACTACACACAAACACACACGTTTCGCAACCTCGACTTCGCGCCTGGATCTGAATTCTCCTCACAAGCCACTTTTTTGAGCCCTGTACGTGGGTCTCTCTTGCGAAAAACTTGCGACTGCACCACACGCGCGCCTTGCGATCGCGAAGCGGCATTCGATATCCCTCCTTCGACATAGTCCTCCCGTCCGCGACGATTTCGCTGCAACCGCCATCCTGGCTGCCGTTCGAGAGCCTTCTGCGCCTGCTCCGGCATTGGACAACATTACAGAGCACGAGCACGATCACGATCTTCCCTCCTTTCGAGACGTCATGGAGGAAGCGACGGCTCTGGCCACCCTTGCGTTGCCGCAAACAAACCTCGAGACGATCTCGCGGCCCAGTTCCACGTCGACGTCGGAATCCGCATCCGCAGCCGCGGTTGTAGCCGCGGCCTCGACGGTTCCTCAGTTGCCAGGCATTTCAGCGCTTGCCCAGGCCAACAACTCTGCGACGAGCTCGCCTCAGATGCGGTACGTGAGTAAACTTGGTGTTAGGAGCAGAGACGAAGAAAGCGCAGAGGGACATGATGGGCGATCAGCTTGATGGCCACAATCCACTTGCGCTGCTCGCGCGCTCGCCGAATAACTGAGCCATTTTGGCGAAAAAGTAGGCGATGTAGCCATTGCGCTCCATCGACAGATCTCCCTCTGCTGCTACATCATTGGCTAGTCCGCAGCCTGGTTTCAGTGGGAGAAGAAACAGCCGAGATGGGATGGAAGAAGATGTGACCAAAAAAGTGACGAGAGCTTCATAAGCTGACTTTGATCCACAGAGAAGCGATTCCCGCGCCCGCTCCCGTTGCCGCCTCCACACCGACTCAGGCGCCCGCGCCCGCGCCAGCTCCCGCGCCGACGCCGACTTACGCTTCTGGCGGAGGATCCACCACGGTATGTCTGCATTTACCTTACCTTATCCCACCTTGTACGGAGACCATCGCGGGTATCTTATCATCGAGTCCAATCCCGAACCCCAAAAAACTCCCCCATCTCCTGCGTTAGTGTTATCGCAATTACCGTTCAGGTATTGCTGTTATCTAAGAACCAATGAACCCTGCAAGGCAGGTGTGGGGCTGCAACTGGCCGCGGTCGTTCCTTCCCTGTCTTATCTTTGCTCCACAGATAAGTTTTCTTGTTCCCATGCAGCGATAGTCGTCAACACCAAGGCCAGAGTCCCAACTCTCATCGCGCGCCTCACCTCGTCAAGCACCACGAACAAACAAACGGTCACATTTTTTCGCATTTCTTTTGGAGCACATACTTAGAACTCCTTGACTGAATCTTTTGCGACCATTTCGCTGGTGTTGCGCATCATGATGGCCACTCAAGCTAACGAATCTACGCAGCCAACATGCCAAAACTGCCAGACCTCAACCACGCCCTTGTGGCGGCGCGATGAATATGGATCAGTCCTCTGCAATGCATGCGGACTGTTCCTCAAGTTGCATGTAAGTGTATCACATTCTGTCCATAGAAATATGAGCTGACCCGGTATTAGGGTCGTCCGCGTCCGATCTCGCTCAAGACCGACGTAATCAAGAGCCGAAACCGCGTGAAGACGATGCGCCCTGATCTTGCATCTAAGAAGAAGGTACGTGATCCGTTGGCATTGCCCAACTGTAGCTAATAATGCGAATAGCAACAGCAGCAGCAACAACAAGCTCACCAGTTTGGCGCAAACGATCCGAACGGCCTCGACATCCATGGGCAAAACCAGCGCAGACAGTCGCAAAAGTCAAACGGCAATCCGGACGGCTCTGACTCCCCCGTTTCTCGTACCGCGACCCCTTCTCTATACAACCCTAGCCTCCCGGTCTTCCAGGGCATGGATGATGCGCAGCTTCAGGCTGGACTGCAGGGCTTCAACGTCTCTGGGTCGGACAACCGCTCGGGCTCCCCTCTGAATGGTGACCGACACCTCGACGTCCCACAAACACATGAGCAGCTCATTGCCGCCAATTCTGCCCTCAAAACCCGGGTTAGCGAACTAGAGCTGATCAACGAACTCTTCCGCGGCCGACTCAGCCAAATGGAGCAAGACGAAGCAAGCGCAAGAAGAGGGCAGGAGATTAGCGGCAAAGCGGAAGCCCAGCTGCGGGCTCAGCTGGAGAGCAGTAAGAAGCAATTGGATGAGAGCCATCGCAGAGAAAACAACCTGAAGCGGCGTCTTGACGAGATGGAGCTGGAGCTGAAGGAGGCCAGAGATGCCCTGGACCTCTCTGACTCTGGCCGCGCAGCAAAAAAGCCTCGGATTGCCGAGGTGGTTGCTAATCCAGCCGTTGCTGCGACCACGAGCGGAGGAGGCGGTGACGGCGGTGGTGGTGGAGAATCCGAAGTCTCGACTCCTCAATCCGCCGCCGCAAACTGAGATGGCACCATCCAGGGCCCAAATCACCGTCACCTGCGCGATTTCCACGTACATCACCACCGCCACCAGATCCCAATATCTTGGGACGACGCTTTGCAAAATTCTCCACGCTTATACCTATAATGCCGCGTGTGTTTTTCCGTGTTTCTTTTCTTGGTTTACCCCCGGATATCCTACGGGATTCGGGTACGATGGCTCGGGCTGCTTGCTGCTAGAGGGACAGGCGTTGCGGCCCTGTGGGTCAAGGTAGTCAAAAGTTTTTATTGTGACAAAAAATAGAGGCTTTACGGGATTGATGACCACACACACCATACTCCTATCTTTTGGGGTTGTTCTGTGTTTTGCTTATGTGATGCTCGGTTCCAAGCTGTGTGATCTTGTAGGGTTTGGGTGGAGAAGGGTAGTGGAGGGCGAGAATAGTATCATGAAAACACACGAATGCGTATCAGTTGCATGGCTGTCAGTGCCATTCATGAGTTTTGGGGAGGGAAGAAAAGGCTGAGCCTCTCGACGTCATGATTCCTCTTGTAAGCCGATGCCCGGCAGTCCCTTGTAGACGTCGTTCTAGGGAGACTCGACCCTCGATATCCGAAGAGGCGCGTAATAAGTGGGCAGAGTGTACGCGCGTCGACTATCAGTCCATCGATGCAAACAAGTTTTGGTTTGAAGCGGTGGCTAAAGAGGTGGGAGCATGTGTTAAGAGGTGACACATCCTCAAAGTGAAGAGAAGGACAAGGCATAGGTCAAAGGGATGAACAGAAAGCGATAGGTATGAACATTAGGTAGGTTCGACCTCATGACCTTAAGTCTTCTCACGTTGGCCTCGTACCGTATGAATAGATACATGTGTACACAATCGAAGAAGATATCAAGATGCGCGTAGGGAAGATAATGGCTTACGTGAATGAAGAACGCCAAGAGTAGTGAATACAAGAGTCGTTAGAACTTGAGTCGTTTATAGTATTGACGGCTTTTGTCCCAACTTTCTGAGAACCCAGGTGGCATGACAGAGATATCACAGCCGATGAGATGACTTCAAAACGCAAGAGTATTCGGAACCTTCAGTAGAGCCATAGAAGAGTACTATCAATTGCAGATGCGCCTCTTGAGACCCTCACACTACCTATACCCCATTAAAAGCCACTAAACTGCCCAGTCACGATAGCTTCCTGCCGAGGTGCTGGGATGAACCGGCAGATGGAAAATTCATCACAAACATGCAAATTTCCCGTTGAGCCTTTTCGCATGGTTGCCATGCATTGCCATAGAAAGCTGACACGGATGCAAAAAGCAATCGTGGCTGTCAGTGGCATGTTCACAACCCTCCTTCCCCCACAGGGAGCCGATGGAGACAGTCTAGACCTGAAGTGCGATTAGATACCTACCTACCTTGGCATCTTGGGTAGTGAGATAGAGAGACATGCGCAGATAGAAGCCGGGAGAGCAAAAAAGAGACAAGGATGTCCGCTCGGGGTGGATGCTGCTGGAGAAAGAAAAGAGACGGGCGCATCCATTCCCTTCCCCTCCCGCCAGCTGCCTTCCCGCCCGGGCGGGCTCCATATTTTTTTCCTATCATTCGCGGGGTTTCGTCTGCGCCTCTGTTGACTAGACTGAAGAAGATGTTGAGGAAACTCTGGAGGTGGACTGTTGAATTGGTCGTTCTTCTTCTCCACCAATGATGCCGCGCTGCAGATTGACGTCTTCGAACGGCGATGATCTTTCTTGGCATTTTTCGGACTCTGTCGGTACGGGGTACGAATACCGGTACCAAGTTCAGGGCAGAATTATTACGAATACACACAGACTTGTGATTGCGATCCCTAGAAATCCTTCGCCCCGGACTGGAAGGCAGGGATGATGGCAACATGCAATTTTTTTTTTTCCCTGGTGCAAGGGCTTCTTTTCGGACGTGCACGCCTGCGATAGAGGGGTTGGGGAGGGAGATAAGACATCATTATCAAGGTTATCGTCGAGAAAAAGGGAAGAAGGAAAGTGAACCAATAAAAGGCCCTTCTCGACCTTATGTTGCCCGAGTACCTAAGGTATTCTGAAAATACGTGGTTCTAAAGAGCTGTCAAGTTACCACGCTATTTGCCTACTAGAAAGCAAGTCCGAATTCCACAAGGTCAAGATGATCCGAGTTTGTTGTCTATGAATGCACAGCTTTTCTTTAGAAGAAACCGATTGGCACTAGCAATTAGGGACGGGATCGAGGCGCAGCAACAAAATCAAGGAACACAGAATAATTGCACAATTTGCATCTGACAAGGGTTGAAAACGGAATTTTTGTTCTCTGCGTGCCTACTGTGGCGAACATTAGTGGCGTGTCCGGCGGGATGATACCTAAGGTAGAGCCGAACATGTGGGAAAGCAGCAAGCCTCGGTGGCTTGCGTGCTTTGCTTGACTGGATTCACTGGGAGGGCAACAGGGCTCGGGGGAATGTTGTGCGTGCCGTTGGTCGTTGAGGAGGACGGGATGAAAGATTATGACGGATTCCAGAGCTGATTTTTCGCACCGAGGTTTTGCTGACCCCCATTTCTTCAGGTTTTCATGTGAGGTACCTCACATTGGGCGAGGCACAAGTATCGACTATGCCCCCTCGAGGGAGTACTCAGCACGTAATGTGTGGTCGAGAACAACCCCGATGGCGAAAAGTATACCACCCTCACCAGCTGGCTCTCCTGCTCTCCTGCTAATGTGAGGTACCTAGGAAGTTCGAAACTAGTTCCCTCAACATTCTCCCTGCGTGGTGCTGCTTGTGGTTGGAAGACCCTCTTTCGCGGGCGGCGGCCCGTGGTCTAGAGAACACTTAGACGACGAACGAGTTCCCAAGGCAGTGGATGTACTGCGTACACAAGCTCGGACGCCCGGAGCCCACGCCCACTTACCACCGGCCGACCGATGGATCGACCAAGGCAAGCAGGCAGGCCAAGTCAACGCTTTTCGCAACGCAGTCGCTCCAACAGCGGGCCAGCCAGAAGCAGAATAGAGAGAGAGAGAGAGGGGGGGGGGGGGGAAGCCTGGGCCCAGGCACTATTCTCCGTGTTCCTCTACCGTATTACGTTGCCGCAACCTGGTCCTCTTAGGCCATCTCTCGGCGGCCACTCATCATTGGCCGAGGAGGGATTCGTTTTCTGTGTCCGGGCGGCCGCTTTAGGCAAGTGGAGTTTCCTCTCCACTCCAACCCCAACCTGGGGGAGAACGGGACGAGGGGCCACACGACCCATGGGTTCTGGAGGTACGGATAGGTACCTTCACGCTTACGGACCACACGGTCCCACGGCTCACGGAGGGAATCGGGGGAACGGACGGCGAGCGAGAAAAGAGCGTGGCGTGCTGTATGCAGAAAAGGAAGAGATATATGGAGAGATAATTACCTGCATGCCGATTCCGCCATGGCTGAATTCCCATATCAATTGGCACACCCGACATGCCCGCACTTGAATTCGTGACTCTTTCTCGCAAATTACTTGTTCACATTTCATCCTCTCGTTTTCTTAATGTTTATGCCTGCCCGTCTCTCTTTCCACCTTACCTTTTGACTGAAGTACCTGGGCTTATCACATCCAACCCGCCAAATCGTGTGGAACATTACAGTTACAGGGTGGAAATCTCGCAACTGACACCAGGGAGGAACGTCGGCTCCATCCCTCTCGTGTCTAGTTCCCTCCAGAGACATTCCAGACGGGCGTCCAGCTCCATATCTCTCATATCTCGGGGCTATCTCTTCACCACCACACCAGCATACCAATTCGCACTTTTTTGATTCGCCTCCATTATTGACATTGGCCATCTTCCTCCCGTCCCCTCCCTCTCCCTCCCCGGAGCAATCATAATCATCCTTCACAACAGCCATGTCGAGGACGACAGGTTAACCATTCTCCAACACCTTCTCGAAAGCGACCCACGTCTTCTTCTTCCCACAGAAACTAAAAAACCCACATCTTTTCTAAATCGATCATCGCCCTAATTACACGCCTAATTGTACGTCTACGTCCTCTAGACGAACCAAATATCACTACACGGAATCAGACACGTCTCAAAGCAGAAGAAGAAGAACTCATACACAAGCACAAAAGAAATGCTTCAAATGTCACAACTACCAAGCCGGGCAGGCTACAGCCCCCTCGTGCCCTCACCTCTAAACCCAGACGTCCACGCCATCGCACCGCAACGCTGCCAAAAACTACGCGAAAAGAGACGCCAACAGGGCCGCGGCGACGTGAGCCCGACCCAGAGACTCCTCCGCCACAAGGCCGCCATGGCCTGGAAGTCGGAAGCCCTGACGCGGGAGAGCACAATGTACACGAGGGACGAGATCCTTGATATCCTCGCAGAGTGCGATCGCCAAGACGAGGTCGCAGCGAGGGGGCTCGTCGTCATGGCCACCTCGAACCAGCCGCCGTGGCCGCCATCCAAGAAGCAGCAGCAGAAGAAGCAGCCCAAAGTCCACATTCGGGCGGCGCATTGGAAGGAGCACGAGGGCGAGGAGTACGATTTCTTCTGCGAGGCCGATGACGACGCGGACGAGAGCGCACGGCAGTGGGGGTCGCTGATGCCCAGGCTACGAAGTCCCTTCTCCAAAGATACCGCTCGCCGGGTTGCGTTGGCATTCGGGTTGATGTGTATCTGTGGGTGTCTACCTGCCCTTCGAGCCCACGGCTTCCACATGTATTCGGCTACCGAGGCTGCGTAAGGTGTCATGGGTCCTCCTATTTCTGACCACATTGAACAAATCCACCAATTCGTCATCAGGCGGAATGGAACTTCATAATTCTAGCCCGACCGAAAAAGCAAAAGAAAAGAGTCTGTCTATCGGAGCGGGGCTTTATCGTCATCCATACATCAGGCCGAACCAGCTCACGTCTAGAGAGCATATGTTACAAACATTACACACGTCCATCATCCTACAAGTCGTTGCTGAGGCTACTTCTTCTCCTTGCTCGGGTCGGAAGGCTTTTCTTTATCCGTCGTGGGGTCGGCGTTGACCTGTTTTGCGGCTTCCTTTGCGGCATCGTCCGCGGCTTCGACAGAAGCCTCTTCCTCCTTGGCCTTCTTGGCATGGTTCACCTGCCAGATGGCCCGCTCGATTTCGACGCCCAGCTCGGGTACATCGAGCGTCTTGGCAATCCGTTGGCCATTGGCCTGCGAAAGAAGGATTGCCTCGTCCTTTGCGTTCTCTCCCTTGCCTTTCAAAGGCTCCGTGTCGCCAAGGGCCGGTTTCGACGGTGTTACGGTTGTGTTTTCTGGGATTAAAGGCGTATAAATGTCATTCAATAGCTTTGACGGGGACAGGGCCAGGAGTTTATTGTCAACAAGGAATCGGAGGTGCTTGCCTCCCTCGAGAGCGCGCCAATGCGACCAAGCTCTGTAGACGAGATAGAAGAATGGCAGATTAGGTATCCTGGGAGGATAATAATATCAGCAATGCAATTCTTCCACACATAAGAATCGGAATCGAAGCTCCAACTTACACGGGCACCAGGGCGAATGGCGCCGAGATGGGCATGCCAATCAAGCACCATATGAGCTTCCTCTTGTGCAACGCATCTCGTTCGGTGGCCAGGGTCCTGACAACCTGCTCAGCCTGCTTTGTTGGGATGATGGTATCCGGGAAGACCAATTCAATCTTCTCCTTGCCCTTGAGCTCCTCATCCTTGCGTCTCGCAGAAATGGGCGGCACCGACTTCAACCCCCATTCTTCGTAGGGAATTCGACGCAGGGCGTAGTTTCCATAGCTCACGACCTTCTTCTGCCATCCGCTCTCTTTCGCCTCCCAGCCAGCCCACAACTTGGCTGCTCTCTTGCCGACCTTATCCGCCAAGCCTTGTTGGTTTGTCGTCGCAATGTTCAGTCGTTGTGAGTAGAGAAGGGTCCGACTCGTGGTGACGGGGAGGAGGTAGAGACGCATATCGGATGACGAGGGCTCAGCCCGGGCGATGTGTGCCGGGAATTGGTTGGGGCAAATAATTTCGTCGTCGTCGGGTCACTCGAGGAATTAGCGACGCGCTGCCCCGCGGCAGTTGCGCTGGGATGGAGGGGAAGGGAAAAGAGGACGCTCTTGGCTCAGAGATTAGCAAAAACAGCTTCTCCCAGTCCGCATGTCGAGTGATATACTGAATTAGCCGAGGGGCGAAAAGAAAATCTCCCGTGATAGAATACCCAGGCGGCCTCTTGTCCCTTGTCGAAGAAAGGAGGCAATTTTGACGTGTGTCGTGGAGTTCCAGGTCTGGAAGCTCTCAGCCTCTTGGACTTTGAAGAACTAGAGCCCTGCCCCCTGTCATCCATCTTAGCTTCTGGGTCAAGCTTCCTGGACTGAACCCGGACGCAGAGCAGTGACGCAGGTCGGCGTCATGGGCCGTTCCTGTGATTTGAGTGGTGCGCCGAGTGCGAGGGACCACTGTTAGGGTAGTACATGAAGGGGTATCCCCGGAGCTTAAGAGTGCTTGCATCAATGCCTATCGGAGCCCCCTGCTCAGCTGCGCGATAGGGCAAGAAATGGGCCTGACACCATGTCTGTCATCCACTCAGCTCAAAATCGACTGCCAAGCTGACGTGTGCCCCTCTATCACGACTGAGTTTTCCTCCGGTCCCAGATCGCGTTCGCGCAAATTGGCTTTCGAAACCCGCTAAATTCCTCCATCTCGAGGTCGCGAGGGCGTGACTGCCCGCGGATTCAGGGAGTACGTACCTGACATTCTCGCAGGCAGCCGGCATCGAGGGGCCCACACGTCGGGTTGCTCCAGTTGTTAGATTGCTCCAGTGCACCGGTGCTACCAGCCTTCCAATCTGGGCTGTTGGACACACCTCTTTCCCTCTCTCCCACTCCCTTCCGATTCCCTTTCCCAGCCCTCCATTTTGTCGTCCAATCTGTTTGGCGCCGTAAGAGGTGTCTGGACTCTGCAGTCTTTCTGCAAAGTTTCCCGGTTTGCTGGAACGCCCGGGCAAAAGTTGCGGTCATAGACCTGCAGTGGCACAATCCGAGTCTCGTGTGGTCTGCTTTTTCTTTTGGTGTTTCTCTCCGGATACTTAGGCTGGCCACCGTCAGCTTTGGGATTCACCCTGCAGACAGAACCAAAGGACGGGACTGGACGGGGACGACGACGAAGCCAAGAAATAGCGACGCCAGCCAGCACCACTAGCTCATCTCTCCCCACGAGGACACAGCCGCCGCCTCCGCCGCCGTTGAGAGAGACACACAGGGCGCACCCAACCGTTAGGTTGCTAACTGTCTCCCGTCACGCGCACCTCTTCTGCTGTGTCTTTTTCCTTTTTTTTTACTTTACTGTGAGCTTTGGGCTTGAACACGGTCTCGTTGCTGCTTTGCCTTCTTGCTTTTCTCAAATCATAATCTTATTTTCTTACGTCTCTCGCCCGCTCCTTCGCCCTGACGACTTTCCTTCTCAACTTGTGTACACAAACAACATCGACGATTAAGTGCACGATACTACCTGCGATAATAATATCGATACCTCGCTTTCATACGGCCTCGACCGAAAGGCGGAGAGCATATTAATATGCGAGCCTCTTCACACGCCATTGACGAAGCGTTCCACTCACGACGCTCACAATCGCAGACGGCCTCGTCATAGCACCCCTCCTCTCGACTTCAGCGTCCAGCCTCAGCCAAGGCTGTGACTGCGATGAGCACATCCAGCCACCCACCTGGCAGTTCCGCCTCGGCCGACTTTCGAGCATCAGTCGGCACAAGCAGTACCGCAATCGATAACAATGGTGCCCCGCGCATGCGCTTACAGCCGAAATCGCTCCCTCGTAAGGATGACCTCCGGCTCGTTCGGAGCTTTGATTGAGCAGGATCCGGACTAATCACCTTGTCGCAATAGCATGGATAGACTCCTACGAGACGCGGTACGGCAAGCCCAGCGAAGACCAACTACAACTGCTATCACCCCCGGCCCGGGCCGTTCCACCTCACCACAATCACCAGCCTAAGGAGCCTGATCGTCGGGTGTCGCGTGACGGCTGGGTCGACTACACTGGCGACCCTATCTTAGAGAAAGCTCGCCCAAACACAAATGTCCGTCTCACCGACTTCTTCCGCGGCAAGGGCGCGCAACACGGCAGAAAGTGGGATCACCTGCGAACAGCAGAGCCCGTCATCGTCTCAGCACACAGGCCCGCAACCCAGGGCCCACCAGCAGCATGGAAGGACTTTCTTCACTCGTCGGCCTACGGGCACATGGAGGGCGAGCAGTCGGAGGTTGTGGACGTCAGCATGCTGGATAAGTTGCAGCCTGACTTCAACAAGCGATACGACTCGCATGCCCACCGAGACTTGGAGAAGGGATCGATGAAGCAGAAGAGAACGAAGACCTTTGGGCAAAGAATGTGGTCCCTCATTCTACGACACTACCTAGTGCCCCTGGTTTTCCGACTTACCGTCATGTTCA